ATTTGTTAATGTTTTCAGAAAATATTTTAATGAATATGTTTATTGCAGTATTTGGATCAGTCTCTGTGTACACAGACTGCCAGCTGATTTGAGAAACATTTTGTATTAATTTTTTAACATTTAAAAATTTTTTGACAATAATTTATGAAGGAATTTTTATGTTCTCATGTAAGACAATTTGAAGTATTGTTGTAAAGTGATCTGTTACATTGCTTTTTACTGTAATCGGAATAATCATATCTGAAATAAAAGTTTTAGATTTTATAAAAATGTGGTCTAGGCAATTATCAAGCCTGGTAGGTTCGTTAATTGTAGAGATATAACCGAATTCACTAAGAATATTTAAATATTCAATACAGTTGTCATCTGATTCAAGGATATTAATATTTATATCACCTATAAACAAATAAAAATGTTCATATTCTGTTTGATTGTTTTCTAAGTAGTTTTGCAATATTTGATTAAACTCCTTTATATTGGAAGCTGGTGATCTGTAGAGTGCACTTATTACTATGTTCTTTTCGATTAGATTAACTTTAGTTTTAAGAATTTTAATGTTACCTAATTGTACAATTTCATATTCATAATCATATTTACTCTTTAGGTACATCAATACTCCATCATTTTGATTATAATCTCCTTCGTTATAGATCATATTGTAACCCGGTAGGTTATATAAAGTGCAGTCTGATAATATTCTAGTTTCTGTAAAAACAATACAATCAAATTCTTCATCAATGTTTTTTAAAAATATTTTGAATTCATCTATATTTTTGTGCACACTCCGTATATTATTGTGTATTATTTTAAAATTGTTATTTAGTTTGTTGACCTTTAAAATTTCTTTACATTCAATTTCTGTATCTAAGGTGTAAGTTTTTACAGGATCTAGTTTGAAATCATGTATATATTGATCCATATCTGATTTTGTTAATTATACTAATTTTATATCTAGTTTAAAAAAAAATGTAATAAACAGTTAACCAAAATTCTTAGATTTACTTTAGTCAAGAAGCAGTTTCATAAAGGGTATTTGCTTCATATTAGTAAAAATTAATTTAGATTTGTTTAGAATTTGATCCAGATCTTGTCCTTTTTTCAAATTGGTTCTTTGGAATAGGATTTTTTGGCAGAGCGGGTTTGGGTTTCTGATTTTTACTTTTTGGAGTTGCCGTATTTTTTTCATCCGGTTTATCTTCTGTTTGAATGTTTGTTGTATCACGGTCTCTATTGTTGAGGTCCTCTAAATTATTTTCCGTATTATTTGAATTATTTGAAGGAGTGGATGGTGCACTAAGTGATTGGCATTGTTCTTTTGGAAGTATAGAGTTCTGTAGTTCTTCTGCTGTATAGGATTTATTTCCAACGTATAATGTTCCTCCCTTCTAGCCTAGACATTAAGGATACCTATACAATTATACTTTTTTAGAAATCTGTTTGCGCACCGGATGTACTCTTTAATTATTACAACAACTTTGTATATATTTATAGATTGTTGTCTAAAATAAAAGTCATACAAATATTTTGACAACAATTAAACCATATTTCGACTTTTGGTTCCGATTTTACACTTATTTCAAAAAGCACGTCACTTTTCACAAAGTTGTCGATACAAAAAATGCTTGCAGTATTATCTTCAGAAAAAACGCGTTTAAGCTATATCCCGAATCTAGTGAAAAAATACAAATATCCAATTACGTCGCCGAAAATGTTTGCAAAAGTATTTTTTATTGTTATAGACATCTAGAGGCATATTATTTCATTGCCAAAGAAAGAAAAAATTTATCGATAAGCAACTTTACTTTGAATTTAACAGGTCACACGACAACTTCTATCACCGAGACATAGTACGTGTTGTTCACTCCCCTTACCTGTAACGCCACTTTTTGCAGTTACATGAGGGACCAATAATGTCTGTAAAAAATAAGAAATTGACAAATAATAGATAACATTAGAGTGGACACTTTAAAGGAAATTTTAAAAGAAACCTATGTATCCTTAACTTACATATTCGTAATTAATAGTTCTTTTATTCCTAGTGTTTTTTCCACATCACTAAAAACAGGATTAAATAAGCCTACATTTATAGGAAGAGAAAAAACAAAAAAAAATATTTATCGCCCTGTAACAATAAGTAAAATTTAAAAAATATATTTATATTAGTATAAAATATAAAAATATTTAAACAAAAACAATAAGAAACATTATTACAATATTAAACATACAAAATTCCGAATTAATTAAAATACGTACAATACGGTTATGATTAAATAAGGTCTGACTTATCTGTCAAAAGAAAATGTTTATTACAGTAAAAGCCATGGAAACATGATTAAATATAAACGAAATATAAAAATTGAATTTTTTGAGGAACAAAAAAATGTCTACCTCTTAAACCTGTACTACGTTCTGCAAATTAAATTATAGCACTCCGTTTTTCTCTATACTATAGTCAAGCAATAGAGCACAGTAAGTAGAAATTGATGAGGGCATCAACGAGGCTAGGACTATTACATATTGTGTACCGTAAGGTATTGTCCTGGGACCTATACTATTCACTTTATATACAGAAAAAAGTGCTATAATTTTAACCACGTATTTAGCTCATCAAAACAAACAACTTTTGTCAAATGTAAGTTTTGAAAATTTACCATTTTTGATATGATATGATATGATATGATATTTGTAAACCCTAAAATAACCCTAACGAGCTGTCTGTGATAAAAGAAATAATTAAAATAAAATCTAGCAAAGTTTTTAATACATGATTCACAATGTTATACATTTTTTGCTACAGGTCAAATGACTAACACGCCGGACGATTATTTTTAATTTTAGTTGTACATGTCGATTAATAGCTTGCGGTTCGATTTATTTTGGTTCTTAAAATGCCGATTTTTACCAATAAAGAATAACGTGGTGTTAGTTTAGAATGAGTAAAAACAAATTTTCATAGACGTGTTCAATTAAGCTTAGAATATAAAGGAGGACATTTTGAACATTTGTTATAAACTTGTGAAATAACTTGTGCATTTTTTAAAATAAGAAGGCTATAAAGATTTTTTGGTAAGTCAAAATTTCTTGATGTGCAAAGATTAACAAAACATTGTTTACATATTTAGTTTTATAACAGAACCAAATTTTAAAGCACATAATATTTATTTATTTATTTACCAAAACTCAAACAGGCCTATTGGCCTTTTTACATGAGTAGTTTTCTTAACGTAACAGCCAAATATACAGTGAGCATCATAAGTCTTACCCCCCCTAACTAACACGTTACTGGAGTCTTGTTAGGAAAATCGCCAAGACAGGTCGATTTTTGTTTTTTACAATGTACATTTTTGTATGATTAGTTTACCCTTAATTTCATCCCTTACTGGAGGGGAACAACCCTTTCGAAAAATTTAAATGGAATGGGGTGGTGAGTGATAGCTCATTTAAAAGGGGGTTTTATTCTCTATTCAACCGTGTAAAAAAATTTTAAATTTGCTTCATTACGTGTTGATTTATTAATGTTTAAAAATAACAAAACCTCACAAAATAGGAAAGAAACTAAACTAATAGTGACCTTCTAATGGCAAAAAGTCTTACTTCACGTCTGAACCAAAACCGAAATCATGCAGGGCCGAATTTTAATTTTAAGGATGAGTGCGCTACGTTAATTTCCGTTATTCTGAAACAACAATTAGTCGAGAATTAATGAAGCAAATTTTAATTTTTTTTTACATGGTTGAATAGAGAATAACACCCTCTTTCAAATGAGCTATCACTCACCACCCCATGCCATTTAAATTTTTCGAAAGGGTTGCTCCCCTCCAGTAAGGGATGAAAATAAAGGTAAACTATTCATACAAAAATGTACACTGTAGAAATCAAAAATTGACATGTCTCGGCGATTTTCCTAACAAGACTCCAGTAACGAGTTAGATAGGGGGTAAGACTTATGGTGCTCACGGTATGTAATTTTATAACATGATGCTCAAATTATAATAAGTACAATGTATATTTACGGAGGCAGATAAATACCAAAACCGAAAAAATTGCTGAACTGATAGATATATCTATAATTACAAACTTAAAATGTTTAGATAGTCATATAAAACCATTTTAAATTGGGTATGACCAATTATCCAATCTATATTGCTCATTGAACTGAAATTATTAGCAAATCTTATGATATGAGTTAACGGAGATTGCAGAGGACTTTTAGAAATATTAAATTTTAATGAGGATCTGACACGTCTTGATGGAACATTAAATGGCACTAACAATAATAATTGCATACAGTTTATGTGATTGTTGATAATTTTATAAAGAAACAAAATCGTAGATTGCTTACGTCTATTAATTAGTGAAGGTACTACAAATTCTTCCCTAAGCATAGAGGTTCTTATGTAGATATAATCAGGCCAGACATGATATTTTTTATAATAAAGGTATCACAAAAATTTATTTTGTATTTTCTCTAATGAGTCTAAATGTATTTGAGGTTGTTGTGCCCATACTACTGAAGCAAATTCTAATTTTGTTCGTACTAAAGTAAAATACAGATATTTTATTACTTTTAAATTTGTAAATTGAGGAGTTTGTCTTATAAGAAAACCTAATGCACGATTTGCACTAAGAGCAATTTTTTTAATATGTATCATATTCTCCTGGACTTCCTAATTTTGGCTTTCTAGACTGTAATTTAAGAACATAAAAAAATAAATAACTAGGACTTAATATTGATAATTGCAGTGGTAGGGAGTATTGGGTACACTTTCTGTAAAATTATGAATAAATTTTTTTGTAAATATCAATAGCCCTAAAAAATCCCCAATCCACCACTGCATCTACGACGTAGGCTTGCTTTGAGTTTAGATTAAACATATAATTTCATACTCGTACTCTCTACACAAACACGTTTAAAAATATTAAGAACCTTAAAATAATTGCAACAGTTTTGGTCAACCGTACCAAAACACCCCCCGACACCTAATTTTCTTTCTTCACAGCATCGTGAAAGGCTTCCCTCCAGTCTCCCCCTACATCGGAGTCAGCCCGACCCTCTGCTACCTCCTCAAAGAGAAGAAACCGCTTTGCTGTCTACAGCTAGCTCAAGTTTGCGAACATTGTAGCTATAGGAACGCCAGAGACTACCAGTGGCAGAATAAGACCATCATCCTGGCCGCAGACTACGCTTCGAATGGTATCTACAATTTCATTATACCTCTGAGGGCGCACTTCAGGTCCAAGACGTCGTTGAATCCGATCATTTTGTTGTTGGAGAGGAGGCCGGATATAGCTTTTTTGGATGCTGTGTCTTATTTCCCGTTGGTTTACTGGATGCTTGGGTCCATAGACTGGTAAGTACATTTTTTTTATTTTACGTGAATAAATTAGGTTAGATAATAAATGTAAAATTTAAGAAAGCCTGCAGCAGCCGGGGATCAAACTCTAATGGAAAAGCTAATTGTTGCGTTTTTTGGTTATTTGGGTATGTTGGTTCTGTTTAATGGAGTAGGTCCTCGTTAAGAATACTTGGCTGTACTCCTGTGACAGCAGTAATGTGGAGGGCGTCCTGAGTGGAGTGGTATATTCTAAAACCATGTTGGGATAGAGGCATAATAGTTTTTTATTTAAAAGACTTCCAGATTCTCTCGTTGAGCAAAAGAGTTCAAGGACCTAGTGCAGATATATGACAAAAATGGGATGGTATGAATCAATGGATTTTGAATCCTTGCCTTGTATTCTAGGACTTTCAAGTAAGTTGGAAGTAGGACAGAGATAAAGAATGTGAAACATGGTTCAGAAAGATTTTTTAGCGTTCTTCTGTTAATGGAATCAGGGCCTATAGCCGCGTTTTGACCTGTTTGACAGGCATATTGCATATTTGGTGAAGGACATCATGAGGCAATTTTCGGCAGCCAATGGGGAGACGGAAGCAACAAGTGGCTGGTTTCGAAAATGGTATTATGTCTTATACCTTTGATTTCTTTGTGAGAACGGGTTTTTGGATTTTTGACCAATAGAGATGCATCTGAATTTATTCCAGAACTTTTCTAAATTTTAAGTGATGTTTATGTTATTCATTATCATTCATTTGGAGCCTAGTCAGATCATTTAGAGAGGATTCGATCCAGCTTTGATTTGATGACAGGGTTTTGTGTATGGACGTATAACTATAAAATCTGCGTTTTTGGAAAAGGTGATTTAAGATGTGTTGTGGGAGGACTTTTTGGATTTTGATTGGAGCTGATGTTGATTGTGGCTTGTACTTCAACAACCATGTTGCCGATATTCTGTAAGACATTGAGTGGGTATTGCTCGGGAAGGTAATCAGATATGCTTCTCTGAAAAAATTGCCAAACTGCTTTTTTTCAGAGTGCAGAAGATGTAGATGATAGCTTTTGATGGAATTGGAGCGAAGAGTGATATTTTTAGTATTTATGAAGCATCTATCTGCAATCAGATCCGAACAGGAGTCTGTTTGAAGGATATAATCGATAATATATGATCCCAAGTGGGACAAAAAGGTTGGACATTTGTTTGTAAAGTATGTTTGGAGTTCAGGTCTCCAAGCAGGACGGCTCGGGGAAATGAGATATTCTATTAGTAGTGGAAGGAGTTTAGCCTGGGTAGTTTTAGTATGAGATTACCGTTATTGGACTGTTTATTGGTAGGTCGATAGATATTATATCAAGATCTGCTAGATGAGCAGGGTGAACATTTCGAGTAAATAGTATTGAATTCTTGATAAATAGAGTATTCCCAGAGCAAGATTGGGTTTAATATCCAATAGAGCTATGCGGGTTTTTTACTTAAATGTCGATTACTGATAATATTAGTGTGTCGTGTGTGTCTAATAAGTTTTTAATCAGGGGTTTTTTCCGAGTGAGACACTGGTAATTAACTGTACCAATGACGCAATCCATTAATATTCAAGGTTTGTGGGAGAGAATGGGAATAGTGCTTGATTTCCATGCCTCGTTTTGGTGCACGAATGGCCAAAGATGGCCGAGATTAAGTTCCCTTGGAGTTTTGCTAAATGTTATCGTCCGTTAGGAAGAAAGTTCAGAAGTAAGGTCGCGAATATTTGGATTAAGACAATAACAGCTCAAGAGGTGGGGAAGGTGATATTTGTTACTTTTTCCAGTTTGGGGGCTTCTATGTCTTCCAATACAAGCAGAAACCATATTACTGTACAACTAATATGCTCTATACACTTTTTACGCATTTTGTATGATTTGTCTCGTAATATTATAATTTTTGCGAATATTGGAACAAACCTAAAACACTTCTGAACACGTGGCTGTATTTCTTATCACATAGAATTTAACGATGGCACCACGATAATGGCGCGCTTCACCTTAATCTCGCAATCTAATAAAAATTCGAAAATTCGATCAGGATCGCGGCTGTTAAATAAATATATCTGGCGCCGTTATCATGGAAATTCGAATTGGAACTATTATAGTGAAGTGATGTCGTTTTTTTTTTCAGCTTGGACGACCTGCTCAGAGCCGGCATAACTCTTGCCGAGAACGTCGTTGTGGTTAACAAGGAATTGTCGAATTCCGCAGAAGAGGACTCTTTATCAGATTGTAACACCATCGTTGCCGTGCAGACGATGTTCAAGTAAGAATTTTTTTTTTTTTTCGTTTATACTGCCCGAAATGAATTAGGGATCCACTGTCAAAAATTTAACTATAGAAGAATCATGATGGTATTTTATTTAAAATTATGTTTATTTCAAAAAAGAGCTGACAGATACAATAGTAGTTTGTGCAAAAAGAGTGGATATGATGGCCATATCGAAGTTTGGGCACGACGACGTAGGCGGAGTGCTGAATTATCTAAGGAAGATATGGACAATCCACTTGAGTTGTACAGTATATTTTTTCTACGACCCACTATCGAAAATCTACAAATTTAAAAATTTATTTTAGGTTATTAAGAGAAAATAACTAATTTTAAAATTTGATTAAGAATAATTTTATATAAAAAAGAAATTATCTGGTTTATTCGGTCGTTTTTATTGTTTTTATAAAATTTAAATACAGGCACTACATATGTTTCGGAAACACTCTTCTGGTGCCAGTCAATATTTAATAAAATATAGGGACAATTACAAACATTTTTAAATAACAGAATCCCCTTTCTGTTATTTAAAAAAAAACATTTAACGATCTGAGCTATGAAGTCAAGAGAATTATCTAGCCAAATATATGTATTAACAAGAAAAAGAAACATTAAAATAATGTAATTAGTTTTAAATTGTTTACATAATTGTAAAAAATAAATATCTAGGATCAAGATATAAAAATACATCATCAAATTGATTTTACTATTAATAAAGACATAACAGAAATCAAAATAGAAATAATACATTTGAAATATTTGACAGCTGAAGCGGAAAGTAGATTCATAATTATACAAGGGCGGAAAGTGGATTTTTATCCACACGGGTGTGATATAGGGTAGATCCTATAAGACTAAATTGTACGATAAGTGGTCGTAGAAAAACTAATTTAAGTTTGATTACACAATTTATTGATTATGTACGCCTCTGGTAATAGCGAGAAACTGTCTTCTACAATAATTAAGTGTTCTAACATGCATAAATTTTTTCAATCTTCAGCGATTACCAGCTAATAGTACTAGCTAAGTTCTACTATTATGAGAAGTTAAATAGTTATTAAAAGCACAACAACTGTGAATGGACTCTCTATTATAAAATTGTGGAAAAAATTTTCAGGAATATTAATAGAATAGGGCGCCAGTTAATTCTCTGAATAACTAAAATATTTCCAGAAAGTCAGGAGAATTAGAAAGATTAACTAAGTATAAAGGTTTAAAATATTTAATTTTTGAATTTAGATAGAAAGAATAAGTAAAGAGAATCTAATGTAACCAGAATAATTTAGTAAGAAAATCAAGTGTTTTAATTTAGGTTAACATGTAATCAAATTAATATTCGATAAAACTGTTTAATATTACGAAAAGATGATAAATAATTATGAAGAAAAAAACAATAAATTTGGCTAGTACACCCAGTCAAGAAATATTTATACTTCTGTTTGTTTTTACTTCTACTTTACTTTTACTTGTAAATTCGGTTAAATTTTACTCCAACCATGAGGAGGAACTGTTAAACCACGAGCAGCTCTACTTAATAACCTTAGCCAATTGCAAGACTAAATCTTCTTAGACAGAGATTTGGGTTTAATACACCAATTGATACATTAGTCAATGTAGACTAGAAGGTACTATGTACTAAATAACCGATAAGTCGTTTCACAATTTTCAAAAACATTTGTTTCCAAAAAAATAACTAAAAACTTGTAATATATTTCACAGCTGGAACAAAAAAATAATAATAGGAAAAGTTATTTTAAACAACTTTCAAAAATATAGTATTAACAAAAATAGTAATCTTATATTTCAGGAAATATAAAATCGTAGCTATGATTGATCATAAAGAAACCGTTGGAATCTATTTAAATACATGAACATTGCAGAGACTTTCTTCTGAAAGTATTTACACTATTTAATTAAAACATAAGTAACTTAGTGTTTACATAGTTTTCTCAAGATAACTAAATGTACTGATCACGGCAAAATTCGCTCTTAATGCGACATCATGGCTTCCAAAAAACCAACAACCCGCTTTTCGACATCTCACAAGAGAGAGAATGTCATTCAGCCTCCTATGCATTAAATTATGAACTATTATAGAAATATGTTAAGTTCGTTTCTTGGTAACACTAGGTGTATCATTATTTAAAATTATTATTATTAAAACTTTTATTTTCCAATAATTAATATTACAAAAGGATAACATGAATAACATGTTACAGATTACCATAACAAATCAATACATGATTTTTCATGATACTAGCTTTGTAACTGGTTTTTTGACGTATGTCAGTTTCAAGACGGTTAGAAAGACTCTTGGAAAGAAATAAGATTATATGTTTAATTTAATTTCTCAGTCACATGACTCAGCATAACATACAAGTTTTCCTTCAAAATAGTTTATTTTAGAGATGCTATTTATATAAATTAAAAATAGATTTGGACCCAATACTGTCCCCTAAGGCACTCCTGTTTGTACTATTAAATAGACACTTAATTTATTCTCTATTTTTATTTTTGGGATTTATTTATTGAATAATATCTATGCTCCAAACTGTTTTCTTATGTACATAAATAATGATCACTTTACTCCCTCCCTAGCGATACAAATGACTATTAAAACAATGAATGGGTACATTTTCCCAGTAGTAAAGCCTTTCATATACAAAACGCAATGTCTTCTTGCCCTATCGATTGCATTAAACAATCTGGAGGGCATGTCTGATGGAATTACATAAAGTAGAGATAAATTCCCATCATAAAGAACCCGCAAAACTAAAACTTCGTCTCTTAAAGTGTCAACTATTATTTGGTTTATAAATATAACGGGAAGATAAAAGAAAATGCTGTTTTAGAGACGCAACTCTATAGGATTCAGAAAATTGGTATTACCAGAACGTTTCCCTTTGTCAAAGGCGTACGGAGTTTAATTTAAAAGGATGATTACCGTTTTACTACTGAAACTAAAACTTCGTCACTTAAAGTATCAACTATTATTTGGTTTATTAAAATATTATGAGAATATATAATAATAGAATTCAGAAAATTGATATTACTAAAACGTTTACCTTTTTGTCAAAGGCGTACAGAGTTTGTTATAACAGGGTATTTCTCGGTATTGTAACTTTTATATATTTATTTCATTTTTATAAAAGAAGAAACTGAAGGTTACGATTTATTTAAATAATTATAATTCAAATCTGACTATGCCATCAAATCTCAAATTTCCAAATGTCAAAGCGCTTTAAAACTCGAAATTATGCATCATATTTTACATTAATTTATTTAATAATATGGCATGTTTTGTTGAATTTAAAATACTATTTATTTGCACCCACATGGATATTAGCTATTCTACGTATCGGAATACAAAATGTATGCCATTGCGTTCAACTGAACGAATATATTTCATATCCATTCTACCTAGTAATGAATTATTTTAAAGTTTATTTTATTTTATAAAATAGTAAAAGTCATAAATTATTTTTAAGTGGGTTATTAAAATAAATCTTAATAAATCTTGATAAATCTTGATAAATCTTGATAAATCTTGATAAATCTTGATAAATCTTGATAAATCTTGATAAATCTTGATAAATCTTGATAAATCTTGATAAATCTTGATAAATCTTGATAAATCTTGATAAATCTTGATAAATCTTGATAAATTTTGATAAATCTTGATAAATCTTGATAAATCTTGATAAATCTTGATAAATCTTGATAAATCTTGATAAATCTTGATAAATCTTGATAAATCTTGATAAATCTTGATAAATCTTGATAAATCTTGATAAATCTTGACAAATCTTGATAAATCTTGATAAATCTTGATAAATCTTGATAAATCTTGATAAATCTTGATAAATCTTGATAAATCTTGATAAATCTTGATAAATCTTGATAAATCTTGATAAATCTTGATAAATCTTGATAAATCTTGATAAATCTTGATAAATCTTAATAAATCTTGATAAATCTTGATAAATCTTAATAAATCTTGATAAATCTTGATAAATCTTAATAAATCTTGATAAATCTTAATAAATCTTAATAAATCTTAATAAATCTTAATAAATCTTAATAAATCTTAATAAATCTTAATAAATCTTAATAAATCTTGATAAATCTTAATAAATCTTGATAAATCTTGATAAATCTTAATAAATCTTAATAAGTCTTAATAAGTCTTAATAAATCTTAATAAATCTTAATAAATCTTAATAAATCTTAATAAATGCTAATAAATCTTAATAAATCTTAATAAATCTTAATAAATCTTATCTTAATAAATCTTAATATATCTTAATAAATCTTAATAAATCTTAATAAATCTTAATAAATCTTAATAAATCTTAATAAATCTTAATAAATCTTAATAAATCTTAATAAATCTTAATAAATCTTAATAAATCTTAATAAATCTTAATAAATCTTAATAAATCTTAATAAATCTTAATAAATCTTAATAAATCTTAATAAATCTTAATAAATCTTAATAAATCTTAATAAATCTTAATAAATCTTAATAAATCTTAATAAATCTTAATAAATCTTAATAAATCTTAATAAATCTTAATAAATCTTAATAAATCTTAATAAATCTTAATAAATCTTAATAAATCTTAATAAATCTTAATAAATCTTAATTAATCTTAATAAATCTTAATAAATCTTAATAAATCTTAATAAATCTTAATAAATCTTAATAAATCTTAATAAATCTTAATAAATCTTAATAAATCTTAATAAATCTTAATAAATCCTAATAAATCTTAATAAATCTTAATAAATCTTAATAAATGTTAATAAATCTTAATAAATCTTAATAAATCTTAATAAATCTTAATAAATCTTAATAAATCTTAATAAATCTTAATAAATCTTAATAAATCTTAATAAATCTTAATAAATCTTAATAAATCTTAATAAATCTTAATAAATCTTAATAAATCTTAATAAATCTTAATAAATCTTAATAAATCTTAATAAATCTTAATAAATCTTAATAAATCTTAATAAATCTTAATAAATCTTAATAAATCTTAATAAATCTTAATAAATCTTAATAAATCTTAATAAATCTTAATAAATCTTAATAAATCTTAATAAATCTTAATAAATCTTAATAAATCTTAATAAATCTTAATAAATCTTAATAAATAACTTTTAAATTTGTAGATTCTCGTTAGTGAGTCGTAGAAAATATATACTGTACACCTCGAGTGGATTTCTCTTGTTGTATAAACTACTATTTAGTTTAAACTTTATTGTCTTAAGAAAAACTGTATGTAACTCGTTTTAAAGTGTTTTTTTTTTATAAAATTTATCATTTTTCATACTTTATGTAATATACTATTAATCTGAGAACATTTTTCGAACATCTAAAAATTTTATGTTTTTTTTTGTTGTAGATTTTTCCCTAGTATCAAAAGCATAACTGAGTTGTCGCAGTCTTCGAACATGCGATTTATGCAATTCAGAGCGCATGATAAGTACGCATTACATCTGTCAAAAATGGAAAAGGTAAGCGTTTATCACTAGGTTTTGGTTTGAGAATTTAAAAAAAGTGTGTTTTTATATCATTTGCTGTTAGAAAAAATTGTCAAAGTATAAAAAATTTGAACTAAATACATATGTGAATAGTATAAAAAAGTGTCAATTTGGACTCAAATCTGCTTTTTGTATTTATTTTAATTTCTAAAGAATTAAAATTCTTTTTGGAAAATCAATCAAGATTTTTTTTGGTTATAAAATATAAATGTTAAATGTTGTTTTCTCTATTTTTTCTTTTGAAATTATTAACAATTTGTACATAAAATTGTTAGTTTTAAAGTAGATATTTAATTGATGATTTGCTTTGTCTTTAAACAGCACGTGTTTAGAATACTTTCAAAAATCAATTAACGTAGTGTAGATAAGTTTGTTGCTAAATATTAAATTAATAATATAGCTAATACAATTGCAAGAAGTAAAGGTAAGACAGTTCTAAACAAAAATTGACCGTTTTATATAAAAATTAATCTTCATAAAACAATGTAAATGTATCACTATCTTTAGAAACATGTCAATACTTTTTGTTAAAATAAATCTGTTAATTCAACGTAATTTTTTGCAAAAAATTACAAAGTATTAAAATGTTTCTAATCCTAGAACAAAAAAGAAAAACACCCTATTTGCTTTTGGAGATTTATAGCCACAAATAAATAGTTTTGGTGTAGAAATTTCGTACCTCTACTTCTACTGCCTTTTTAAGAAACATAGCATGATATTAATTATTAGAAAAAGAAAATAACCATATTTATATTAATTACAAATGAAATAAATTTTATTGTTACATGAGAAATGAACGTATATAAGTATAATATAATAAATTCCAGACAGACAAAGAAAAATCAAACATTTTCGGATTTGTAAATGACATCGAGTTGGAAAGCATAAAAGGAGTTTTTTCGAATTGATGTAGTTGCCATTTTCCTTCTATATGCCTTTTTATCCTTTCATATTTCTTTAAGCATCACTTATTAACTAATGAGAATTTTAACCTCTTTTACCTCAAATTCTATGGATTCTTTTGTCTTTTACAATTCGTTTGACATTACTCATATATTTCCCTTTTATTATTTCGTTATATTTTTATACTGTTCTTTGTCTAAAATGGTGTCTGTCTTAACACTGCATGTAATCAGATGATATAGCCCTGAGGTAGTTATTTTGTATTTTAATATATCCACAATATTGGGGAGTTAGCGGTGAAGACACAATTAAAATTATGAAATTTTATTGATCTCTTATCTTGGAAATTTTTAAAAAATGCCCGGCAGAAAACAAACTGTTGTTAAATCCGGCAATTATAGGCAGTAATGAAATGTTTAAAGAACGCTGTCATCTTTCATTGCGCCAAAGTTTAATAGAAACATGCACATAACAGACAAAGAGACTGCTGTCAGCAATCATTGATATGATTTCGACTTTTGTTCGCCCCACTACATGCCTCAGACAGTTTTATACGCGACGATCGGTAGCGGTTTCTGTCTGATATGTGCATGTTCCTATTATACCTTGTTTAACTCATTTATTACTCATTACTAATAGTTGTTTTCAAGAACTAGACAAACAATTGAGTTTAGTGATTGCGAATAAATAATTTATAAGAAAATAGTAATAAATCATGAATCGTTAGTCAAACCAATGGAATATTTTCAGTTGTTAAAAATATAGTTGGAATGGGAATATTTTTAAAAGCAATTTGTTTGTAACAAATTTGTTTACAGGACCATTTTTTTTTTCTCCTGGGCTCGTCTGACTATGTCGCCGAATAACACTGAAGCCTATTGGCTTATTGTGTTTTACCCCATGTTAGTTCATAGCACCCTCTCTATCACCTTTGTACCTTGTACAAGTTTGTACAGATCCTTGGGTGAGTGGGTTCTATACGTTGTTGGATCAACCTGGGGTTGTCCAAAAAGTGCCTATCTTTTGCGATCTAGAGCTTCGCATTCGCACAGTATGTGTCTGTCCGATTCTGGTTTCTTGTGACATAGTCGGCACATGAGTTCCCCATTGTACATGCCAATTTTGTTCAAGTATCCCTTTACTGGTCGTGCCCAGTCATAAACCCTGTTATTACTTTCAACTGGTTCCTATTCATAAAGAGTAGTTCTCCAGTTCTTTTGGGACATAGTCTGCCTATGAAGGCTTTTCTATGTGCCTGTTTTGGGGTGCTTCCCCAATAGTTGATATGTTGTTTCCGAATCCAGTCGTTTATGAAACCCTTTACTGTACTTTTTGGTACTCCTGGGTTTGTGTCTGGTTCCGGTGTTTCTTCTGACCCTCTTTTTGTAAGTTCGTCAGCCTTTTCGTTGCCTTCGATCCCTTGGTGACCTGGCACCCAAAATAGTTTTACTCTGTTTCGGTCTGTCAGTGTTCTTAGTTCTTCGATGCATTCCCATACCTGCCTCGATGTAACTTTCTGACTCGATATGGCCTTAAGTGCCGCTTGGCTGTCTGACATTATTTGAATATGCTGATTTTCGACAGCTCTTTCATTGTTCGTTTTTGCACATTGCAAAATTGCGTATAACTCGGCCTAAAATACCGAGGAATGTATTCCTAGAGCATAGTATTAGGGTTTCTGGAGAATACTCCCGCCCCAGTGCCTTCCGCAATTTCCGAGGTTATCTATACACAAGAATCTTAACTAGACCAATTGGGTAATAACTGCTTAGTGTAACATAACCAATCAGTGATTATGAGATAGCTCTTAATATTAAATTACATCAGACCCACCCTGTGTGTTATAGTTACAATTTTTGATCTTGACCAATGCTTTTCTAGACATTACTTTTTCTTTTTGTAGTTACATTAACTACAATTTTCCTTTTTTTATCGTTTTCATTGAACATACCTTTATATCCTTTCATATTTTTATTAAAAATTTTATCCTAACAATTTCTATGGATTCGTTGTTAGGTATGTGTTCTTATTTTTCTTCTATTGTTTTCCGCAATTCATTTGACATTTGCTCATATTTCTACCTTTTTTAATTTTCGTTTAATTATCAATATATTTTTCTTAATAATTTCTATTTTAATAATGTGTTCTATTCTTTGTGTGTGCATGTAATCTGGTGATATAGTCCTGCGAGTAGTTGTTTTGCATTTTAATATTGTCACAATGTTTTGTAGCCAGTGGTGTAGAATTAAAAGACACAAATCTATTAAATTTTATTGATCCCTAATTCCTGAAATATTTAGAAACTTCCTACTAGAAACTGTGATTGGAGGCGTAGCTAGAAGAGCCGTTTATGTGTCAAAAACTCTCTCATTTGCTCAGAAAAAGGAATTTAAAATAATTGCATTCTCATAAAAAATAATAAGTATCTACATGTATTGTTTTTTAATTTCAAAACCCAAACTCCCCCTTATACATTTTCTGGCTACGCTACTGATAGGATGTAATGGAATGTGTGAAGAATGCTGTCATATCTCATTGCGTCAAAGTTCTGATAAGATTTCGGAGGTTACGGGACAAAGTAACATATTTCAGTGGCAGATATATAAGTACGGAATTTTTAACACGAAAAGTATACCTTAGAATGAGATGATCAAATGTTAATAGGAACATGCACATAACAGACTTCGACTTCCGCTGGCCCCACTACATACATCAGACATAGATTTATGTGCTGTTAGATGTTATGTGCATGCTCCTATTATACCTTGTTCAACTCATTGTAAAGAATATTATTGGGGTTGAAAATTATGCATCTATATATTTTATATTACGTATGGCAACTCTGTCAATACTCTTTCTTAACAAATTCCTGACATTATAAAGATTGATCCCAAAAAAAAAAATGTTTTTAAAGTAGGCCATGGCTGACAGAGACAGAGATACGAGGCGTGTTCGTGTTAACCACTCACGACTTTAAATTAAATCCAGAGTGACATTTAAAAAAATAAGAATGTTGTACGTTTCGACAGGCGTGAATTTTTTCAAAGCCTACTTTTGAAATATTTTTTTTTGAGATCACTCAATATTACAGCTTATTATTTCCATATACCGGGTGTTCAAATTAAAGTGTTACAGTTAAAAACCGCCCTTTATAAAAACGTTTTAGACGAAAGTTTTATAGTTTTTTGGGGAAAACATTTTGCCTAAAATAGTTTTTTATAGCTAACAATATGGCCAACTTTTTTTCGCACAGCACAATTTTCAAGTAGGTGTTACTCAATAAGTAGAAGTCTAATAAAAAAAAATGTTTCCTTTAAAAGTTTCTTATTTTTTTATGAATTTTAAGAATATGTAAAAATGGGGTTCCAATTTGAAAAAAAAGTCCACCTCGATATGGCCATATTATGGTCAGCTATAAAAAAATGAATTTACCCAAACTGTTTCCCCAAAAAATTGTCTGAAACTTTTTTTATAAAATGAATTTTTCGGTGGTATTTAACTGTAACACTTTAATTTGAACACACGGTATAACTATTCAGGTAACGGAAATTTAAACACGGGTCGTCTATTTCATAATGCAATGGACAAGGTTTAATAGGAACATGCGTGTAACAAACAAATAACGATTAACCACAAAGGATACGTAGTACTTAGCACTAAAGCCATAAAGTCATAAAGATTAAAAATAAAATGGATTGCTAGATTTTATCAGATGTACTATAACAAAGCAGAAAAAATGCCGATTTTAAAATGGTATTTTGAAGGGTCACAAGATGGAAGGCGCAATAATGTTGTTTCTCCACGACCATTACTAAATATAATTCTTCCGAAATCAATATGAACATTATCACTCTTGAAATTGGAAAAATATTCCAAAACACTTTCATTTTATGTGTCTTACATACATTTTTATTCTATAGCAAGTAGGCTAGGCTAGTAGGTAACCAAGGATACAGAGATGTAAAGATGGCAGCCTGTTTTAACGTTTCCGTGACATTCAAATTAATTAGATCAACAAAGATAACTTTGATAGTTTTAAATAAAACTACCTATTAATCCTACGTATTATAACAGCATTTAAAAAGAGTTTGCTACACTTTTTATTGTAACAAAATTTTTGGAATTCAACAAAATGTCGTTTTTTAGAAGTGCTAGAAATATATCCTGTAAAATTTTAATATTAAAATTAGTTTCAAAGTAATGTTGCCAGGTCACTCGTATCCAAATCTCGTACACTGGATGGTCAAATTATTCGTATTTTATCGTACCCATCTTTATCTTTTATCTTTGTCGGTTGTAAGCAGGTAGGGTTAGGTTTGGCCCAGAATACTGCGGCCTCTTGGGTCTATTGTATTCCCCTGCTTTCCCCGTATTCAGGTACTATCTTTGGAATAGTCCTGTTTCTCTGATTAGTTTTAATAAGTTCCCTACCAAGTGTTCCTGGGGCGTTCTTTCCGGTTCTAGGCCAAAAAGGATATGGTATGAGGTTTCTTCCTCTTCCATGCAGAGTCTACACGTAGTGGGATCATTGTGTAATCCCATCACATAAAGGTGTTTTAGCAAGCAGTGCCCCATTAGTAATCCCACAATGGTGAATACATGAGGCCTCGCGAGTTGTAGTGCCTCAGTAGCCATGCGTTGGTTTGGTCCCTTTAGCATGAGCTTACTAATTCGGTGCCCTCTTATATGTTGCCAGTGAATTTGGTGTATTGTGGTTATCCACCTGTTCACTGGCAGAGGTTTTGCTTATCCCAGATACAGGTTCGGGTCCTGTGAATGGTAGATCTGATCCCTCTGTGGCGAGTTCATTAGCTTTTTCATTTCCTTAGATACCTTTGTGTCCTGGTACCCACGATAGTTTTACCTTGTTGTGGGTTGCCAGATCATTTAGTATTCCAAGGCAGTCCCAGACAAGCTTTGACTTGATTCTGTTTGAATTAAGAGCCTTTAAGGCTGCTAGGCTATCTGAGAAAATTAGGATGGTTTGTTTTTTGTACTTCCCTCTTAAATTATCTCGTACACACAATTCGATTGCATGTATTTCAGCCTGAAATACAGTGGTATGTTTTCCCAGTGAGACGATGATGTCGCATTTGGGTTTAACTCCATGTACGCCAGAGCCTGTTCCCTTGTTAGTTTTAGATCCATCCGTATATCATACGAGACCACTAAGCAAGTATTTATCTATCTCCTTATTTACCTCGTTCCAGTTACAGTTGACCTGGAAGACTCTGTTGAAGGTTAGGAGGGGTGTCATGTGATCTGATCCCATGTTTAATATAAAATCATTTACTTCATGTGTTATTCTGGTATGTTTTATATGTCCCAGTGGGTTCCATTTCTTGGCGATTTCCAGTCTATATGCACTCATTCTGGCCTCCCCCTTTATGACTAGGTCAAGGGGTGGGAGGTTTAGAATAATTTCCATAGATGCTGTCGGTGTACTTCTCAGTGCATGCCAGCCTCTGAACTCCTGAGAGGGTATTGAGGGCTATTTTCTGGTATACTTTTGGCCAGCAAACAACCGCTCCATAAGTTATCATGGGTCTTGTTATTGCCAAATATATCCAGTGGATCATTTTTGGTTTTAATCCCCATGTTTTTCCAAATGCCCGTCTCCCTACAATGAGAGACATTTTACATTTGTTGGTCACTTTTTGTAAGTGTTGATTCCCAGATATTTAAATTGTTTAGTTTTGTTTAGCTTTCCTCCAAACAGAATCGGAGTTTCTAAGACCACCAACCTTGTTTTCCAAGTAAAGGTTATGAGTTTTGCCGTGTCAGGGTTTACCAAGGAGGTTTTCCCTAACGTACCACATTTCTGTCAGCCTAAGAGCTCTTTGCATGAGTTCCAAGACTGTGGTTTGGTGTTTCCCTCGGATAAGGATGACTATGTCATCGGCATATCCTTGGGCGTACAGCCCTTGATACTTCAGTGTTTTCGGCAGTTCATCTGCCACTAGGTTCCACAGTAGAGGAGAAAGAACTCCACCCTGTGGGCATCCCCTGTGGATATTCACCTGCATGGTTTCACTGAACATTTGTACCTGTACTTGCCGTCCGCGTAACATGTCTTCTATCCATCAGCAGATGGTGTCTTCTATTCCATTCTTGCGAGCGGCAGCTACCATTGATTTAAAGGAGGTATTATCATAAGCTCCTTCTATGTCAACAAATGCTCCTAGAACTATTTATTGGCTACTGAGTCCCCCCTCTATCTTGGTTACCAGATGATACAGAGCAGACTCAAAAGATTTTCCTGACTGATAGGTATGTTTGGTTTGTATGAAATGGTCTCTCTATCGTACCCAATATCGCAGTTCAGTTTATTTATTGTTTACAATTAAAACAAAGAAAAACCTCTATACAATTTTAAAATTTAATAAAAATAACAGGTTGGTATTACTTTTCTTATAAAAGGATAAAGTTACAAAAAATTAACAAAAAAAATATTTCTGAAAGTAGATATGCATAGATTAGTTAGGTTTTTCTCAAAATTAAAAGAAACCCCACTAATCAAAATCTTTATATTCACAATTAAAATTATTAACAAATACTGTTTTTATATTCTTTCTCATAGTTTTTTTCTATCGAATGACGCTGAATGACTCGTCTAGAATCCTCCTTTCCCTCCTTTTATTATTCGTTCTTCTTCTTTTTCGTCTTCTTTTCTTCATGCGACTTTTATAAATAGTTATTCAGCGTATGATAGATGCTCACATTTAAGTATTCCCTCTAATCAATGCTCTCCATATTCAATAAAATTTAAAATCATTATCTTGATTGTTAGCATTGATATGATTAATAGATTCTTTTATTCACAAAATTTGCTTTTTAAAAATGTCTTTCACAACTTTCATTAGACTGTGGTAAAAGCCAATATGGAAAAAACAAACTTACAATAAAATTCCTTCCGTTAGAAGAATCAAATGAATTGAATTATTGAAAGTGAAAGTATGAGGCATATTGTGAAATTACTGTACATTTGGATAGTAATAATACAATCGTACATTGTACAGAACACCAAAATTATCGTAGAAAACGAGAATTATCATACATCTGACAACACTGTTTCGAAGAAAGCGCATATCTGCTGGTCAACCGTATTTGTTTGTTACATGCATGTCCTTATTATACTTCATCCAATTCATTGTAAAATAAACGGTCCGTGTTTAAATTTCCGTACCTAAACTGAGTGCTAAGTAGCTAGATCTAAAAAACTAGAACGAGTATGACTTGAAATTTCTTCTATTTTCCAGCACAGCATGGCTTGCGAGAGTGTAAACTTAATACTATAAATATTATAAAACTAAAACTTTTTTTCTATTCGAAGTTATTTAAAAGCAGATCTGAATTTCAGTTAGCAACCTCTAGCAGTAATAGAAGCTACTATTCACAAGAGACCGATCAAATTTTGGTAAGCAGCCATTTTTAAGGATTTATACGAGTCGTGCATGCAAGAAATAGAAGAAATTTTATATTATAAATCTTTATTTTTCTTTAAAAAAATATGTACTTTATTTAATGAATTAGAAGTCAACCATTTATAATGCGCAATGTCAAAGTAGCACTTCTGATACAAATAACATTTATTTTTAATTAAATAGTGGTAGAATTTTGGAACCATAAAATTAGTGCTTGTATTTCACTAATATTCAATTTATATAGATATTACTAAAAAGAGAATAAATTCACATTCTTGCTTTCATAATTCTTAATTAGTGAACTCAAGTACTTTCTTAAAATTAAACTGTAACCTAGGAGTTAAGTACTTAAAAAGTTGTTTTATTTTTATGAAATTAACATCTAGATAAATATGTAAATCTTTAATCTATATATCCATAAAACAAATAATTTTACTTTGCATACATTTTCTTAGAGAGAAAAAGAACGTGGATCTCACATCTCTTACATGTTTCGACTACCTTTTGCTGCTGGTAGTGTCTTCAGCGCTAGTATGTTGGACACACTGCTTTACCAAGCCTTCGTCAAAGACTACGTTATCACTTTCGTTCGGCTGTTACTTGGAGTTGATCAAGCACCGGGTTCTGGATTCCTAACATCGGTAAGTCAACCTTATTATAGTAAAATAAGTATTTAGTAATTTATCTTCAATTTTCCTTTAATTTATCTTCAATTTTTAGTTAATTTATCTTCAATTTTTAGTTAATTTATCTTCAATTTTTAGTTAATTTATTTTTAATTTATCTTTAATTTATCTTTAATTTATCTCTAATTTATTTCTAATTTATCTCTAATTTATCTCTAATTTATCTCTAATTTATCTCTAATTTATCTCTAATTTATCTCTAATTTATCTCTAATTTATCTCTAATTTATCTCTAATTTATCTCTAATTTATCTCTAATTTATCTCTAATTTATCTCTAATTTATCTCTAATTTATCTCTAATTTATCTCTAATTTATCTCTAATTTATCTCTAATTTATCTCTAATTTATCTCTAATTTATCTCTAATTTATCTCTAATTTATCTCTAATTTATCTCTAATTTATCTCTAATTTATCTCTAATTTATCTCTAATTTATCTCTAATTTATCTCTAATTTATCTCTAATTTATCTCTAATTTATCTCTAATTTATCTCTAATTTATCTCTAATTTATCTCTAATTTATCTCTAATTTATCTCTAATTTATCTCTAATTTATCTCTAATTTATCTCTAATTTATCTCTAATTTATCTCTAATTTATCTCTAATTTATCTCTAATTTATCTCTAATTTATCTCTAATTTATCTCTAATTTATCTCTAATTTATCTCTAATTTATCTCTAATTTATCTCTAATTTATCTCTAATTTATCTCTAATTTATCTCTAATTTGTCTCTAATTTATCTCTAATTTATCTTCAAATTATCTTTAATTTATCTTCAAATTATCTTTAATTTACCTTCAATTTATCTTCAATTTATCTTTAATTTATCTTTAATTTATCTTTAATTTATCTTCAATTTATCTTCAATTTATCTTCATCTTTAATTTATGTTTTCTAGATGCGAATATCGAAGGACGACATGTGGATTCGAACCTACGGCCGTCTGTACCAAAAACTGTGTTCAACGACCTGCGAGATCCCTATCGGGATCTACAGGACTCAAGATACGTCTATATCGGATTCATCTCATGTGAGTATGAGCGCTGCGTCATCGCCTTGGTCATCGTGTGTGCGTGTGCCTTCGGTGAGTAATAAAACCAATCAAAACAAAGACTTTTTTCCCTTTTTTTGCAAAAATGTTTATTTTATGATCTAATTGTTAGCACCCTCTCATGTTAACATATCTATAACTTTATACTAATGCCTATGCTAAAAAAAAAATAGATAAAAACCCAATATTCAGAAGACGTTTTATTCAGTGGTCCTAAACTACATCCTCCTAAACATAAATCAGTTCTAATTGGGATGAAAAGCTGCATAATTATATTTTAAAAAAGAACCATCTTATTTTGTGTAATCGGGTTAAAAAGACATGGCTGAATCGGTCGATTCAGCCATCTTGTCATTCTACAACGGTTTATAAATATGTAAAACCATCATCAGGTAGTGACAGATTTTCTAGTATTCTTGAATATGTATTGGGGGAAGTTTAGGGAAGGCAATAACTTGAACAGGCCTTACGAAAAACAATTTAGTCTTTATTGCTATGTATGACTATTTATTGCTATTTATTGCTATTTATTGCTATTTATTACTATTTATTACTATTTATTACTATTTATTACTATTTATTACTATTTATTACTATTTATTACTATTTATTGCTATTTATTGTTAATTATTGCAATATATGGCTATTTAATGTCATGTATGGCTATTTATCGCTATTTATTGCTATATATTGATTTAAACTTATTCGTATTGATTACGTCTGTTTCCTATTAATTACTTTCGATTTCTATTGATCGCTATTAATTTCTCTTGATTGGTATATACTGATCTATACTTATTCATATTGAATACTTCTGTTTCCTATTAATTACTTTCGATTTTTATTGATCGCTATTCATTTCTCTTGATTATTATTAATTTCTCTTGATTGTTATTGATTTCTCTTGTTTGTTATTGATTTCTACTGATTCATATTGATCGCTATTTATTGCTCGATCGCTTTTGGTCGTTATTGACTGCTATTTATCGTTATTGATCGCTATTTAGTGCTATTTATTGCTATTGACGTATTCAATATATTATTTAGCCCATCACAACGTATAGATAGCCGGTTGCATCTATCAAATAAAGTTTGAGAGATAATGTGAATGTGATATGTTGCAGGCTGCCAACGTTTATTACGTTCGTACATTTTAGTGGACGTTTTGCAATCAGCTCTCATGGAGCTAAAAATTACAAGTTTTGATCGTCCTATTTTTATATTACTATAGTTTCAAACGAATTCAGCAAATAATTATGAATTTTAGTATAGGCATTGGATTAAAAAAGATAGATATTTTCCTGTGAATTTCACCATCCAAAATATTAAAATTTAAGTGTTTTTCTATATGTGTTAACACTTGAGTGTTATACTCTAAATTCACATTTTTATCTTTTTAATACCTTTTTGAATATTTACTCTTTTCACCTTGTAATGTTTTTTCCAATTCTCTAACACTATAAATATGTTTTTTTATATTTAAAAAACTCTATTTTAGTAATTAATTTGTAATTATTGTACATTTTTTTAAATATTTTATAAATTCGTAAAGTATAAAGGATTGCTTAAATTGCTTTTTTTGTAAAATAATAGTCCTGAAATCAAAATATATTTTTGTAATAATTTTATATCTTTATAAACATTTTTTTATTATTGCTTCTAGTATCAAAAAAAAAGTAGTATTATAATTAATTTCTATTTAATTTCATTAAATTCTTACTTTTATTACTCGCTTTTAACTTTAACTCGGCGATCGTCCCACAGAAGTATTTATTTATGTAAATAACGTCCCTATCCCATGTAAGTTTTTTAATTATATCTGTTTTTGCAGCTAATTATTCTTCCAAAAAGTATATTTAGATTGTTCAAAAGTAACAGCAACAAATTAAAAGTATTTTAACAGACATGTAGGTAAATGATGTGAGCTTATCACCCCTCTGAAAACTAAAGTAAAGACTGTTAAACTTTTTTACTTTACAGATACTCTCAATTTTGATCCATCCATTGAGAATCTTTTCCTGATACATCTTTTACTGTCCCTCTTTGGTATTACTTTCTTTGTACACCAGGAACCGTTTAATATAAGACATTCTGTAATATGGGTCCAATATTTGGTCCTCGTGGAATTCCATTGAAATTACAGTTAACTGCTTTTTTTGTTATGCAATCTTCTTTGTATACTTTATTAGAAATTACGTTAAAATGTACTTAGAAATTCTGTCAATGATTGTTTTATTAATTTCTTCCCAATTTGTTGTTCACTACGTTAGTGCGATCTGCCCAATCTTGGAGCTACTCCAAATCCAAAACTTTCTTGGTAGGATAGAATTGAAAGGAAATTACTTACGTCATACCTTATTACGTCACATTCAAATAATTGTCACCCTTTTGGCAACATTATATAAGCTTTTTCGTGGGTTAACGTGGATTTATTTTAAATCTTCGCTACCACGTAAGGATTCCTTCCTGTTATAGGGAGGCAATGGACTGTATACTTACAGTAAACTTGTAGAATGTAGCATTTTAGTGATGAACTTGATTTGGAGTGTTGAAATTAAAGTAATTACTTCTGCTAACTGGTTTATTTAACAGTATAAACTTTGCACCGTATACCACATAAAATTTTTATATTTTTTGTAAATTAGAATTTCTAACATGTTAGTTCAAAACATGTCTTTATATTGTTTCAAAGAACAGGTACTGTATGCGTAAAAGAAATAAAATAGGTGTTGTTCAGTTGGCGGTTTAAAAGGGTCTCTACGTCAGTGAGTTATGTAACGTATCGAAAGGCTAACGCTTGTGTGCTACTGTTGTGATTGGTTTATAGAAAAGATCGTATGTTTGACACTGTCTTGTGATTGGTTTTGAAGAATCGTGGCGTGAGAGGTCACCAGCAGATTGTGTGAACAAAGATAAAGTAACTATTGAATAAACGTACATATTTATTTTGAATATGCACATACGAGCACGAGTAAAACAGATCTATATTTAATTACTCAAAATTTTCCATGAGTGAGAGTATTCATGTTTTTCTTGGAACTTTTTAATACGTTAAACTGCAATCCTGCATCTGATTTAAACTTTGATTATATGCAATTGAAATGAGATTTTTAAATTAGGTATTGCAATGTACAGATTAAATATATTGTTGTTATTATGTTTACTATACATTATTTAATACGAGGTGGATCATAAAGAGAGTAACTAAAGTATCTGTTAAAAAAATACTTGTTATTTTTGAACAATGTTTATTGTCTATCATTAAGTTATAAGCAGTATAATATATTTTCTTGCTGTTTCTTTTGAACAATCTAAATTTGTACCTGCTTCGTTATCCGACAGCACACGCACATCTCCATTGGCCAACGATATTAAGCATGAGGTCTGTTTTGTAATTTGTAATACGTATTAGCACGATAATAATATTTTTATAATAAAATTACCGTGGGTAATTTTGAAATACATGTACAAATACTTTCTACAATTACTATTCAAAGAATTGAGACTGAGTGGACGTGTTTCGTGTTTTGAAGGAATTTGTTAGCTTTTCAGCTAGATAGTTGCATTCGATATGGCAGAGGATGGCTTTTTGTTGTCAAATTTAACCTGGAATTGGACAGCGTTTTTTAAAGTTTCGCCAAACTATTATAGTGTCACTTTAGGTAGTTTTAGAAATTACAATAAACTATACGAACGAAAATACATTAATATGCTCACATAAAGAATGGAAATAGGTGACGGACTTTGTTTAACATGAGATTTACTTGAAGAAAATACACAAGGTGTTACTTCTGTTCTGCAACGTGCGGAGGGTAGATTAACCCACGTCACTTAGATCTCCCAAGTAGATAGGCACCTCCTAGCTCGTGAACCAGCCTACAGATTTAATGTAGTTGACAACGTAGCCAAGAGGTGCTCCTCTTATATTGGCCGGTGTTAGCCAATTCTCGTCGAACACAAATCTTCTAATAAATGAGAACGTTGGGCATTCGTAGATGATATGTCAACTTGCAGTCAAAGGTAAGACCTAGGTATTTTACCTCTGTTGCAAAGTTTAGGATTTCTGGAGGTTTTAATTCCATTTTCTTCCTTTTCCTTGTAAAAAGGATCATGTCTGTCTTCTTGGGATTGATACTTTGCACCACTGATCTATAATTTTGAGAGCTACTTGCATTCTTGCGCAGATTATGTTTTCAAAATTCCCTGTTTACAAAATGAGCAGGTCATCTGCATGTGCTATTATGTAGTGACTGTCATTATTGAGGCGCCTGATAAGGGTGTCGAGAACCATGTTCCACAGTAGAGGTGACAGCATCCCTCCCTGTACATATCCCTTGCAACCAAGCCTCTTATATTCAAATCTTCTACACTTATATTTACTGCTCGCTTTGAGAGCATGTTGGTCGTCCACCCACTAACCATCTGAAATATTCCTGTTGTTTAGTGAGTGTGCTATCTTCGGAAAGGTCTTTTTATCAATAAACACACTCTTTATTCTCCAGTGATCTCTCTCTCTCTCTCTCTCTCTCTCTCTCTCTCTCTCTCTCTCTCTCTCTCTCTCTCTCTCTCTCTCTCTCTCTCTCTCTCTGACCAGTAACTAGGTGAAAGGCTGAATCAGTAGATCTGCCTGGTGTATGTATGTTGATTTGGCTAGTGGTGTTTTTATAATCACCACATCCCTTATGTACCTTTCCCATAGCTTTTCCAATGTCTTCATGGAAAACGATGTCAAGGTAATTGGTCGGTGTGTTTTTGGAACAGTGTAATCCATTCTGCTAGGTTTTGATATAAAGACTACCTATACTTCTCTTCATTTTTGGAAGATATACCTCAAAGCCAACGAGAATCTGAATATACCTACAAGGTGCGGTGTGAGTTCTTCCAGACCCCACTGAAGTAGGGTTGGATTGATGCCGTGAGGCCCTGGCAATTTAAATGGAGAGAAGCTAGATATTGCCCATCTAATTTTGTCAGTCGTAGACAGATAGATTGTATTCTTCTTCGGCGCAGTCAACCACATCTGTGATGACCGAGTCAGGGAAGTGTATTGACAGCAGAAGTTTGATCTTCGAAGGTTTGCAGTTTTCATGCAATTCTCTTTGATAAGCGTACCAATACTGCGGTGTGAATCTTTTCAGAGAGCATTTTGAAACCTCGCTGCCTGCGGAAAATCTTCGATTGGTAGTAATAACCAAGGAAAACCACGGTATAACACGGTATATGCATTGACGCCGGCCTAGAAAGTCTACATTCTTTCAATCTTATCTTGTTTGAAGTTTGAAATGGTTACACTACAAATTTAAAGTTCATTAGGGTGTATTAAATCCAGTCTGTCTCGGCAACTTTCAGATTTTGATAAACAATTTCTTAAAAAAAAAATAATTTAGTATTTGTACATGATTGTTTTTTATAAAAATATTCTCATTGATTTATGAGTGAACTAAGGACATATTTAATTTTAAAATACTTTCTAAGATTCTAAATCTGTCCAAAGTTATTATGAGTTAATAAAATGTATTATCAAACATTGTTTATATGAATTCTGTGTACATATTTCTAGTAACTACTTTTTAAATACTAATTAGGTATATTTATGAACATTAAGTACCATATCTTTAACAATTTATTCATTTCTATACCTCTATTGAGCGACAAAATGAAAATTATAGGTTAATAATAAATTAAATTACTTTTATCTGACACTGCTACTACTATTCCTGGACTCTTTCTTTTTAGTTTTTAGTAACTAGTAAAGGAAGAATAGGAATCATAGATTTTTTTCGTCCTTGAGTTTTCGAGGGATCTTTACGTTCTAAATCCTTGAATCCGTTTGGACTATTTTCGCGATAATGTCTGTTTATATCCATCCTGCGGTGAGGTGATTAGATTTTGAACATAGTCGTAGTATCTGAGGGTACAGGGGGTCGCTTTTCTACTTTGATGTTCATTTCTGTTATTTACGATTGGAGACGAAATTTTTTCGAATAATACTTGTTTGTAATGTCATTCTATATAATTTTTGTAATTTACATGATTTCTCTACAATGGACCATAATGAATAAATTTGAGGAAAAGTTCAAAAATCGAATTTTCTTAATATTTTCATTGGCAGTAAAGATATGAAAAATGTTTAATAAAACTTTTACTTTGCCTCTTCTAAAAACTTGCACTTGTACTCAATATATTTGATAACTTTACTGGAAAGTTATGTAATGGACACATAAAATATGTTCATTTGTTAGGCCTTCAATGCCGTTATTAAGCCTACTTCCTCTTCTTTTTTACACTTTTGATGTATAATTTATACATATGTCTCATAGGTGGTTTTAATATGTGCTAGCTATTTCCTCCCCATCTTCTTACGGCCCTCCACCTTATATGAAGTCTTCTTCTGTCCCTCTTACCTAGACGTGGTCTCCAATTTTGCCTGCTCTCCATCTATAATCTTGTTGCCTGCAAAAGTCCACTTTATTTCGTCAACATTTGTACGTTGTTTATTCTATCTTACTTCCATATTTATTCGTACATAATACGTTAACTTTCCGATTCTAAATATAGAAAAACGGTATAGAGACAGAATACTATTGAACAGACAGAAATAATAATAAATAGAATTGTTTTTACAAATCCATATACTTTTATTAAAACTAACATATATACTTCTTAATTACGAGTTCTATTAAAAATTGTATTTTCAGTATACGCAAAAATAGTCCGTTAGTACATAAATTTATTGACGCTGCTGTCAGGCACGGATTGAATAGGCTTTTTAAAACAAAAACGATGCGCGTCATCATCTATCAATTATGCAGTCACTACCTTGCAGAATAGTCGAGGATTTTGGAAAGTTTTGAAAATGTAAGGCTATGTTAACTAATGTGATGTATTGAATTCTTTTGTTTTTTTATTAAAAATCGTTATATGTTTTAGATTATTAGCTTAGACAAATTTTAATTAGTTGACGTTATTAATGATATACAACGGTTTTTGTATTAAAAACCCTATAATAATGATCTTATTTCATCAACGTTAGTATCATTCCATATTCTAACAGCTTTAAATTATTTCTACAATTGGCAGCGTAGCAAATTGTGCCACAAACAAGCGATGAACCGCATCATCGATTTAAAAACTTATAGATTCTATAATTTTCATTTTGTCGTTCAAGCTCTGAGGGTACTTGCATAATTAAACTATTTGCATTAAACTAAATTAGTTCTAAATACAGAGTAGTTGCACGTACTTAGTTTGCTGGCTTCCCTTTTCGCTAGCTTGACGAGGATCTTGGAGCCGATAGAGTAGGTGTCACTTACCGACCAAAGGAGGGAACCAACTGTCTTGGATGCACTAATAGACGGCCGTCGACGGTAAGTTTTTCCTATGTGAAAAAAATCTCAGAGGAACATATAAAATGTAAAGCTTATTTCGAGCAATCTTCCTAAGTGATGAGTGTAAAAAGCCTTGTTTTATTTTTGTTTTATCCATAGAGTACACTAAAGATGAACGATGAAATATAATTTTTGAAGATAGAGTTATTCCCCGAACCGATGATTCATCCAAAGTGATGGCACATTGAAAATTGTAAACAAAAACGGTTCATTTCAGTCTCATTCACTATTTAATCGATTCTCTGTCGTAGATCGTAAATTCCTGTTTTTTGTTTTGTATCTTATGAAATAGAACTATTTTCCTGGCCGTTATTTAATAAAATGTCATTAAATTGACAACACAAGCATTTGGAGTTGTTTCTTGAATTATACCAGCAGTACAAATGCTTGTGGAACACCAAATGCAGCAATTACAGCAAATGGGTAGAAGTTACTTTTTAGAAAAGATATGCGAATTTGTCCTCGTTCATTATTAAATTATTCTTCAGTCCATTCTCTTGACAGCGTTGATGTAGATGACAGATCTTCTTTCTCTGAAACCCTTTTGGCTTCACCCACTAACATCTTTGAACACGACCAGGGTTTGATATAGTCTAAGAGTAAGAACATAAAAACTGATCTATGATATAGACAAATTCCATTGGAATTCATTCTATTACTAAACGGGATTACGTATTTTGGCTCTCCGATACTTTTAGTGGTGCAGGATTTAAGCAAGAATGGTGAAAGTTGCCAGTTCACGTGAAATTTAATCAGTACTTCTTCTAATAATAACCATTGCATTTCTTCTCGAACGAAACATCCTGGCACCCACAAGTTGTCCTGCATCTCACCTAGAATAGACAAGAAATGAACAATGACACTGAAAAGTGGTGTATTGTAAATACCGCTTAAACTAGAATATTAAAGAAGCTACAATATAATAAACAATAACTGCAACAGAACAACTATAATCTCTGAGATTTTTTTAGTCTTAAGAATGGCATATATAGGGCGTATTACGGCTTCTAAGTAGTTTCTATAGATGAATGAACCTTTTAATACAATTTCCCTTTTTGAATTGTATATTACTTACCAAAAGCAGTAAAATGCTTTTAAAATTTTATATACTAGTTAAATGTGTGTGTTAAAAGTGTGAGTAATTGCTTTATACTTCTAGTTTGGTACTTACTTTTTTTTCTACGACCACTGTTCTTAATGTGAATTATTTAGTTAATATTGTGATATATATTGATATGGAAATCTCCGCAAATTTTTACCTTTTCAATCAACCAAAAGTCTCATTCTGGAGTTGATCGAGTTTTCAAAAAATTTGTTAAACTATTAATTTAATTAAACAAAAGATAAACTGAAATCCTGAGTTAATATGTATTTTCTTTTCTACTGCTCTCTGTCTTTTTCCACTATGTCGTCTGCTGGTTCTAACTCCATCTCTAGCTCCTTGCTGCTACTGCTTTTTTTGTTCCCTCTACCTTACTTCAACCTGACGTATACCTTCTACCTTACCTCAACCTTAACTTCTTCCTTAATTCTACCTTACTTCTACCTTACTACTTCTACCTTACTTCTACTTTTACCTTACTTCTCCTTCTACCTAACTTCTACATTATTTCTATCTTATTCTACCGTACTTATTCTACCTTGCTTCTTACCTTACTTCAACCTTATTTCTACCTTTTTTCTACTTTGCTTCTACCTTACTTCTACCTTATTTCTGTCTTCCTTCTGCTGTTTTCGTCTATTCTGCTGCGGTATTCTTACTCTGTCTATGTGTTTTTGCTTTTCTCTTTGATATTACTGTGTTCAAATAAAACTTTTTTTACCTTTTTTTGTTAATTTTCTTTATTTTGATTTGTCTCTAACAAATCTAATACTTAAAACTCTCTTTGAATCTATCTAAAACCTAAAACCATCACAATCTCAAAAACCCCTTTTTTCCAGTTTTTTTAATCAAAAACTTTCGTCTTCGTAACAATTTTATTTTATTGGTAATTATAACAATTTTGAGTAACAAAATTTCACTTTCCCAGAAATTTTCAAAACAATATATTTTGATTTTGCTGCTATCATAAAATAATAGTTAATTTCATAACCAAAACTATTAAATGCATGAAATTTGTATAAGTCAGCCAATAGAGATTACTTTCTGTAAAAATTAATCTACATACTTTCATCAGAAAATAGCTTGCTTATTATTGTATTGAATAATTTTAAGCATTAAAGTAGTGATTGTAGATAAAAAATTATATTTCAGTACAAAAACTTTATATACTTTCGTAAAAAGTTCAACTTCAACTTCGCCTATTAATCTTCAATCTCTTAATAACTTACCATGTACCTAATGAATTAAATAATTATTACAAAACTCATAATTTAAATATTCCTGGTTATGCTACCGCTCTTAGTAGATAAAAGGACAGTATGTAAAATGCAGTCAAATCAAATCGATGTCTTTAAATATCTCCATCCAGTAACAGTTCCTTAGTTCTCCTAATAATCTCCTAAAATAAAAGACTATCAACCTTTCAAAATAATGTTTCTGATATACACATTAAGTTCGTTATGTATTACTTATTACTCTTAAAAATAACCTTGATTTGAACAGATGTGGATTCGAAAAATATCTATACCAATGTGTCATCCATTGCATCTGTTGCTGGTGATAAATTGAAATACATTTTTAGACAGATTTAATTTGAGGTACTAGAAAATATTTATTTAATTTAAAACTTCAATCATAAATTACTCATTTCCTATAGAGAGTCCTATTATGCATTCCTACTCAGGTCTTGCAATTGATATTGTCTGCTCTTAGATGAATCTTCTGTGAATAATCTAGACTGCTAGAGACCAGGATGTTCCAATCAGAGCTTTAGTTGTTTTCTATTTGCTTGTTTCATTGGCACTCTCTTTTAACATGTTGATATGAAATACTACGTGTAGGTTGTGGACCGGTTTGAGTGTTCCCTCACTGGCTAGCGGATCTACTTTCTATTTTCCCAACACTCCATTACTCAACAGTCCATATCTCAGCACCCATTCCAGAGGTACCTTGTTATATTCTGCCTAGACCTAGATAATCTGTTGTCTATCCAATGTTAATTTATAATGTATTCCCACTCTTTTCGATGTTTTAAAGGCTGCCTGGTCATCTCATGATGACGATTCACTTATCTACAAGAGTCTTAAATAATCGGTATGATGGCATTAACACCGGATTTTGTTTGGTGTCATTTGCTTAAAAGTTCTCATTAAAATCCATTTGTTCAGAGCCTGTATGTCGTCGCCATAGATTATTTCTTCACCTCAAGGTATAATGGACCAAGTTCTAGCAGTAGCTCCATTTCTGCAGTAAGCGTACTTGTAAAGGTTCATGTTATAATTAGATAAGACTTTATCTGCAGTTACTAATCTGTCCATACTCTTTTATTCTACAACCTACTATTTTATCCTAAAATGCCTTTGGAAACACTCTTGCTACGTTTTTCTTTTCAGATCATCGAACATCTGAAGACGTTGATGGTAAATAGTAGGAATAACTAATTATAATTTTTATAGTAGCTTCCTCTCCATTCCTGTATTAGTCTTCTTTGAGCAGTAGCACAACTTGCAATTTACTATGATTCTATATATATTTTTTTTCTTATACAAACTTCTATTTTCAGTACTCAGTAAACGGCAACGACGAAGCAAAAGACAACCACGACCAACAGATAGAGAGAGCAGAAATAGCGAACCTCGTTAGATCCCGGATGGAAAGCTTGAACCTACCCACAATCGATTACAACGATGTTAGCGAAAAAAGGAATAGCCTGTCATATGTGATCATCAATCCAAGTTGCGACCTTAAGTTAGAAGAAGGAGATATAATGTAAGTTATTAATGGAATGATCCTACAAATCAGTTATGGTCTTTTTAATGTTTTACAGATATTTAGTACGTCCAAGTCCGTTCTCGGCCCAAAAGACCTTCGAAAGGCACAACAGCCGACGAAAATCGAACATCAGCTTCTGCTCGCAAACGCTCCTGGCCCAGATGGCGACCAGCTCTCAAGCGGGCAGCAGAAGGGGATCCGGCCTCGGCCTTACCGGCTACCAGTCACCACGACCACCGCCTCTAGCCACCACAAAGTCCAACTCCCTCTCCCTTCCGGACAGCCCCACGGTGGCGGGCTACCAGAGGGGTAGGTCGAACAGTTTGCGCGTCATCGACGACATCTTATTGCGCAGATCGAACTCACTGAGACAGGGCTTGCCGAATATCGGTAGTGCTAGGAGAAAAAGTAGCTTAGAGGACATTGGACTGAGCCATTTCAGTACGAACTATTCGAATACTATCAAGATCGCGCTGAACGGTAGCATCGGGTTGGAAGTGACGCCGCCCGAGGAGAATAGTCCGCCGGTGATAAGCAGTAATACTGCGCTGATCGTTAACCCGCCGATGCAGCCGCCGTCCGTGTTGACCGGTAGCACGATGAGTTTGAGTCATAGTGGGTTTCCGGGTGCCAGCACGTCTATGTCTATGCCACAGGTATGGGTTCTACCTAGAGCTCCCCATTTTTCCCAACAGTGTCCATATGTGTAGCATCTCGGTTAGCTTCCTCTTGTGTGAGCATCTTATGAACTAATTACAGTACGACAAGATTGAGATGGCAAGTCAGAATTAGATGTGCACTGGCAAATCGGATCGAAATTTACCTTTAGATATGTTTATCGTCATGTTTAAATATATATCTATATCAAATTTGTCGTACTGTACATTTCTTAAAAGTCTTGGCTGTCTTAATTGTTTGTACTGGAAAGTATCACACGTTTAAATACCTTCTTTCTTTTGAGCCTTCTGTTGAACTGTCCAGTAATTGCAGCGCTTCTTTATTGACGTGAGGTGGGAATGAAGCCGACCCTCATGTTTCGTAGCAAACCTCTTTGTTTTTTCTTCGACTGTTGGCATCTTCAGGTCTATTGTATCTGTAGAACCAAGATGCATCAACCATTAATATTGGAACCTTATTTTAGAAAATTTGTATCATGTTGATATTACTTATCTTTTTCAAAGTCAAGACATATTGGGTTTGTGATTCATTGATAAGAGATCTTGTCCAATTAATCTGAGGAGTTTAAGATCAACTTTCTAACAGAGATTTTCTTGTTTGAGTAGAAGGTGTTAATATTCAGGCTTAGTAATTGATCAACCTCTCCGGATTGTGTTCCTTCAGACATCTTCGATGGATTTTTTCAAAAGTATATCACTAATAAAACAGGATTCACTGAAAAATAGCTTTGGAAAATCACTTCGCTTCTCATTCTCCTAGCTGAATTAACTTTGGGTAGCTCGAATACTACTAATTAATTAAAACGCAAGCCCAAGGTTCGGTAAAAAAAAAAGGAAATTTGGGGAGCTCAAAATCTAGTTAATCAAATTCGTAAATTTTAACATGAATAATATTATTATTGACATATTATCGTTTAGGTGCCGATCAACTTGGGATTCCTCGGCCAGGGTTACGCTGAACCCGGGTCGGTCCAGCAAGCCGCCTTGCCCCCACCAACGACGGATCCGCAACACCTTCAAGGAACGATAGTATGATACAACCTCATGTGGGGGAGAAGGATGGGCAGCTTGAGGAACAAGTGGCTCTGAATCTTCTCGCTTCCACAGTAGACTCTGCGACTCTGTAGAGTGTGTAGTTAAAGGGCGCGGAGTTAAATTTTTTGAGATGGTAGCGGCTTAAATCGGAAAAATGAGATGTTTGTTTTGTTTGAATTAGTCTGGTTTTCGAATAAATTTAAAATGATTGTACTCAGTAGTTAATAATTGTAAAATGACGTACTAAATTGTAAAATAACGTTCTAAATTTTAAAATGACGTACTAAAATGTAAAATGACGTACTAAATATTAAATGACGTATCAAATTTTAAAAAGGCATACTAAATTTGTGGAAAACGCACTTAATAAATACTTAACGTAAATCTTTAAAAATTTAGTAATTATGTTGCGAGTTGTATTTATTTTTTGTGGTGGAACATCAATTCTCTTTACAATTAATTTGTAACAATTTTAGGGATGCGTACTAAAGTAATGTTCCAATATAATGCACCAGATTGCTTTGTAAAACTCAGTAAATCAAAAGATATTATTAGTAAAATTGGTACTAAATTTTAAAACCACATACCAAACTGTAAAACGACTAAATTGTAAAATTACGTACTATATTTTAAAATGACATTACTAAATTGTTAAATGACCTACAAAATTGTAAAAAGGCGTACAAGATTGTAAGGTAACGTACTAAATGTTAAAATGGCGTGTTACATTGTAAAATGACTTATAACATTGTAATATTACGTACTAAATTTAAATGAGGTACTAAACTATAAAAGGACGTACTAAATTGTAAAATTGCGTACTAAACTTTAAAATGACATACTAAATTGTTAAATAACCTACAAAATGTAAAAAGACACACAAGATTGTAAAATAATGTACTAAACTTTATAATGACGTATTGCATTATAAAATTACGCACTAAACAATAAAATAACGACATATTAAATTGTAAAATAACCTACTAAATATTAAAAATGGCTTACGAAATTGTAAAAAGACGTATCACATTGTAAAATGACGTACAACATTATTAAATGACGTACTAAATTATTTTAAAATAACGTAATAGACTTTAGAATAACGTATTAAATTGTAGAATTGCGTACTAAAGTTTAAAATGACCACTGAATTGTTAAATTACCTGCAAACTTGTAAAAAAAGACGTACTAGAATGTAAAGTAACGTACTAGATCGAAAAGTAACGTACTACATTTTAAAATGACATTAGACTGTAAAATGACGTACTAAATTTTAAAATGACGTAATAAACTTTAAAATAACGTACTAAATTGTAAAATTGTCTACCAAATTTCAAAATGGCACTACTAAATTTTTAAATAACCTACAAAATTGTAAAAAGATTTTGAAGTAAGGTACTAAATTTTAGAAAGACGTTTTCCATTGAAAAATGGCGTAAAACATTGTAAAATGACATGCTAAATTTTAAAATGACGAACCAAACTATAAAATGACGTACTAAATCGAAGGGTACAGGGGCAAATAGATCTAACTAACACCGCCATCTTGTAGTTTAAGAGCCAATTGTTAAATGATGTACTAAATTTTAAAATAACAGTACTACATTGTAAACTTAATCTTAAAATGACGTACTATATTGTAAAATAACTTACTATATTTTAAAATTACGCACTAAACTATAAAACGACGTACTAAATTGTAAAATGACGTACTAATGATTAAAATGACGTACTAAATTGTAAAAGAAAGTACTAAATTGAAAAATGACGTACGCAATTTTAACATGGCGTAACTTTTTGTAAATAGAAGTGATATTCTGCACAGCAGACTTTATAATTATTAAACTAATAAATTTAATTTTAAAATTACTATGTATAAAAAAATCTCATTTAGCTCATAAGCCGTTACCATTTACCATTTTTGGCCTTACTAATTAATCTATCAGAATCTTAGACTGATATATTGAATTGAAATGTTTCACTGGTTTTCTAAAACTGGTCTAGCCAAATTTTCTCATACTTGTAGTTACAATTATTTATCTAAACTGTACTAGAACGGTTAGAAGAAATCCCAGAGAAAAAATTGTGTTACTATTTTATTACTATAGTACGGAATTTCTAATTGGAATGATGAGTGTCATTTCCTCTTTGAAGTCATGTACAATGTGCGTTACTTATTATTTGCTAATTGTAGGTACTGGACTGAAACAGTAATGTTCAACAGGATGGTCACTTTCAATGTAGTAACAAATCCTACAGTAGAATAACAATTCATATAATAGAACATTCATTCCTACAATAAAACAGAAATTGAAACAGTAGAATAACAATTCCCACAATGGAATAACAATTTCTACAGTAGGATAACAACTTCTACAATAAAATACATTTTATGAGGTAGAACAGTAATTTCTACAGTAGAATAACAATTGTTACAATAGAATATAACAATTTTTACAGTAAAATATCAACTTTGATAGTAGTATAACATTGCACAAGGTAGAACATTCATTCCTACAATAAAACAGTAATTCCTACAGTAAAATAACAATTGTTACAATAAAATAATAATTCCTACAATAGAATAATAACTGCTGCAGTAAAATAACAATTCATACAGTTTAAAATTCATTCCTACAGTAGAATAACAAGTCCTGCAGTAGAATAAATAAAATAAAAAAATGTCTACACTAGAATAACCATTCATACTGTAGAACATGCATTTCTACAGTAGAATAACAAGTCGTACAGTAGAATAACAAGTCGTACAGTAGAACAACAATGCCTAAAGTAAAATAAAAATTATTCCTACGGTAGAATAACAACTTCTACAGTATAATAACAATTCATACAGTAGAACGTCCATTCCTACAATGAAACAGTAATTTTTACAGTAAAATAACAATTCCTACAATTGAATAACGATTCGTACAGTAGAATAATATTTGAGACAGTAAAGCATTTATTTTTACAGTAGAAGAGGAATGATCATTTCCACAAGTTAATTACTACTCGGTTAATCACACATGTTACTGTGAGACTGTTAATGAGCCAAATTTAGTTATTAGTCAATTGAAAATGTAAGTAGTGCTGGTATTCTCATATGGCGACACTTATTGCTACAATGAGACGTCAATAACACTTTTCGAGACTCATTGCTATAATGAGACTACCATTTCCTTTATGCGAAACTCACTTCTACAATAGGACTATCATGACCACTTTGTGTGACTCATTGCTGCAGTGGGACTATCGTTGATACTTTGCAAGACTCATTGCTACTTTGCGAGACTCATCGCTACAGTCAGACTGCCATTTCGACTGTATGATATTCATTACAATATGACGTTTATTCCCAATGTAAGATTGTCATTGTTGTAGTAGTATAATATACTATTAATGAGGTGGTTATCACCAAATTATTTAATGCTGCTTTCAATTTTATTTAAATTTAAAATAATTATAAAATAATCTGTTGATGCATTGCAGCTAAACTTAAATATAAATGTCTTTGCCAAAGAGCAGTATTTAATTTTTTATTGTTTTAAACTATTTTTTCTTTGGGATTGCCACAAAAATTAAAAAAAAAAAAAACAAAATACAATAGCTAAAGCTCAATATTTCAGTAACCAATACAAAATAAAATTTCATATCATATATATGTACATTATCACATAAAACCGCGTTCTCAGTATATCACTGAGTGAATTGTAAAAATTGCCATATCAATTCATTCAATGTTCAATATAAAACATTCATTGAGTACTTTGTAGATATAGACTGAGTGCCGGTAGACGGAAATCAAAAATGCTATAATAAACATTTTTGTGTCTTAGGCGAAGCTTGAGATTAACAAATGCTTTACGCCGGACGTGCAAATATAATTATTTGTCAACTGCTAGGAAATCTACAATTTTTTTTATAAATTTTGTCCTCAATGGTGCTCTATAATTTTTGATACCCCTATCGCTATGATCGTGCCTCAAAAATAATAGCCTTGCGAGTTAAATACTATATTTTTTCTACAACTACTCTATAAATGATTCAAGTAATTTCATTAATAAAAAAAACAAATTAGTAAAAGAACAACATTATTTTCTGCTAATAAAAATAGTTTTTAATCGGCACCAAGTAGATCCAAGTAACACATTGACTAGGTAAACGAAGTAATTAGTGCACTGTCTGTGTCTGGCAACATCGCTGAGTTTAGTACAGTATTAAGATTCTGCCAAGGAAGTGACAAATGACAGAGCTTTGAACTCGGGATGTGTTCCAAAACATGCACGACGGTTGAGGTGAAAAAGTAAATTGACATTTCTTGGATGACAGTTTAAGGTATATGTTTTGGGACGAATGAAGGATTCACTCGCTTCGAGTGTTATTTTATTTTTTTTTCTCTGCTGTGTTTAATATATGATACGAAAGACACAGGACTATTCCAAAGATAGAACCTGAATACAGAGAAAGCAGGGGAATACAATAGACCCAAGAGGCCGCAGTGTTCTGGGCCAAAACTAACCCTACCTGCTTACAACCGATAAAGATAAAGATGAAGATGAAAAAAATTTCAATTCTTTCTCTTTAACAGTCATTTACCCAATTTTTCGATATATTATTATTTGACAGAATTGTCATGTGTTACCGTCGTGCTCTAAAGTTCGGTAAAAAGTTGTAGCCTAGAGTAAATCAGCCAAGGTTGTTTTGATACCATATTCATAAATCACTTAGCTAACTTCATTGGAGGTTTTTGAACGATTTAAGCGAAAAGTTGTGGCTGTGGAACGCGCTTTTGGGCTTGAAACCACGCGCTCTGTCATATGTCACTCCCTTTGCAGAATCTAAAGACCGTACTAAGTTCCGCAATGTTGACAGGTCACAAATTAACATATTATGTAATAACAGTTGTAAGTAAATCATTACATACAAGTAGAAATAGTCAATTTTCGCGAAAATCAAATTTAAATATTGGACTATAATTAAAATAAATAAATTAATTACATCCTACTACATATGTTGGTTGACAATTTATGGCATTTACGGTAGTGGGCGTAGAAAAAATAATACAAAAACTCTAAACTAGCCTAAACAATAATGATAAACTTTCTATCGGTGGAACTAGTATACTAAAATTGTAATACTCTACCTCAGTATTAAGCACAATTTGGCGTTCATGTTAGTACTTTATTTTATTACAGATGGCGTTCCTTCACATTGCCAAAACATTTATTTCTTACTATTTATAAATTCGTTGAGTGATACTTTTGCGCTTCACATTTTTGTATTTCTCTACCGGCGCACGGTCTATTTAGGTTTCTGTTGTTTTCCGTTTGTAAATAATAAAATGAATTAGTATTTTTCAAGAAATTTCTTCCACACGATGGCCCAAAAAAACTAAAGAGGGCTAACCAGTAACATTCGTTCAGGTATGTTGAATGCGGGATCAAAATGATGTAGTTAGAAATTTTCAATGTTTGGTATTTACCTACTTTTTTTGGAGATTTTTCCATAGAGGTTTGCATTTTGGATCCGCGATCCGTATTATATAAAAATACCGAATCTTGTTTGTCTACAACTGGGTGCAATTGTTAATTTTTCATAAATTCAGATGCAAAAAGCAGTCATAACAAAAGTTGCATAAAACTCATAAGAAAATTCAAAATTATACCAATAACACGTTTCGATAATTTTAGTAAAATAATATTAAATAATAAAAAAGTTATTTATAGCTAATAAAAATTTCTGAATTTTAGTTGTACAAAGTTATCAATGTTAAGACGTGATGATATTATTCAAGCCCAACTTGCTAAAATAGCGTCATCAAATTTATTTCTTCCAAAATTTTAAAGAATTTATCGATTTTTAGAAACATAACCTCATTTATTTGAAGTTTACTAATCACAGTAACGATTCCAAGTGTGATTGAAAAGTCACGCCATCTTCCAACTCTATTTTTCTTTGAATTGACGTTTCTATCTTTAAGGTAACTATTTAAAAATGCTTTATGAATACGATAAACAAAATTTAGTATTTTTACAGAAAAGGAGGTGGACATTACTGCAAATCTCTTTGGAACAACTCTTTTTTTGATGTTAGATGTAAATAGTTATATACTTACGTGATTTCGAAAACGATTTGATCTCACACGAAGTGGGTACATTCTGGTACCGATTTTTCAATGCACTGTACACGCAAAATTATATTTTGAATTCTAAAAAGAGTGGTATTTTCTTCAAACTTGTACAAGTCCTTTATAGGTACTCAAACGGACTCCTTAAATACTAGAGATATTGAACCCGTGATACAATAGCTGTCAAAGTTGTCAAAAAAATACATTATGGTCATTTCGTATGCCAATGCCAATTTTTAGGAAGATTCGTAGATACAGATGATTTTAAGTTTGATTCTAACGTGATTAGCTTTGAATTTAAAAGAAATAAATCATCTTTTTTGTGCTTTGTTTGGGTCGCCATGACAGTTGACATGGTGACATTGTTTAAAAATCATGACTATCACGTTAACTAGTGTCAATGATTATTGACAAAGAATTACCAATAAAGATGTGGATATAGAATTGAAATGATAAGTAACTGTATATTCAAAAAATATCTGGCTTTTATTCTAAATTTTCTTAAAAGTTTTTTTTTTAAGTAATCACTACTAAATGCTCGATCTCTATCTTTGTCTGTAGAACATTCTAGTAAGTAATAAATGGTAGAGGAGCCAGTAACTATTTTGTAGATTTGTCATTTGCTCAAGAAAAAATAACAAATTTTAAATTATACCTTGTAGAACATGGAAACACTTCTGTATCTGTAACGTGTGGACGGTGGGTTACCCCACGGCACTTAGGCTTCATTAGGCTCATTATGCATCCTCCTGAGAAGATAGGCACCTTCTAGTTCGTGAGCCAGCCTACAGATTTAATGTAGTTGACAAAGTCGCCAAGAGGTGCTTCTCTTATATCGGCCGGTGTTAGCCGATACTCGCCGAACACAAATCTTCTAATAAATGAGGGGTCAAGCAATCGTAAAGGAAATGCTCGATGGTCTCATCTTCTTGTTCGCACCCTCTGCAGAGTGCGGATTCTGACAGCCCCATGATATGGAGATGCTTTTGTACTTGGCAGTGGCCAGTCAGAATGCCTGTGACTAGGCGCAGATTATGCCGTCATTAGACTGGGCCAAAAAAAAATGACTATTTTTTTTTTTTTTTTTTTTTAAATATATCGAGAATGTCATTCAGGATGACAAAAAAAAATTCGTAAAAATTTGAGCTCTTAATATTAATTTTAAGAGGTCTATCATTGCTATTTTTGATTTTTGGTCATAATTTGATGTTTTACGTTAGAACTGTCAAAAAATTAAAGTGAAAAAAATTCTCTTTTACTTATTTTTATATAAAATTGAATTCTCTACAAAAAAGGTCTGATTGAAAATGTTCGTCAGACGAGCCGTTTCCGAGTAATTGAGCTTAATAGATCGATGTGTTTTTTCGATTTGTCCTTTTTACTTTGAAATTTTGTAACCAATGAATATTTAAAAAAGCTCACGTCGGATTCTTAAAGGAAATTTAATGTTCCACAAAAAAGGTCTCTTAAAATTTTTGTCTAAATTTAATTCTTCAAAAGTTATTCACGATTAAAATCGAAGAAAAACATGAAATTTTTTGTAGAGAATTTAATTTTATATAAAAATAAGTGAAAGGGAATTTTTTTACTTTAATGTTTTGACAGTTGTAACGTAAAACATCAAATTATGACTGAAAATCAAAAATAGCGATGATAGACCTCTTAAAATTAATATTAAGGGCTCAAATTTTCACGAATTTTTTTTTGTCATCCTGAATGACATTCTCGATATATTTTTCAAAAAAAAAATAGTCAATTTTTTTGACCCAGTCTACTAGTCATAGTCAAGTATTTGTTTGCTCGAATTTCACAAGGGAATGTTCTTTGATTAGGTATGTCACTGCCGATTTTGTCAGGCCAATAGAAGGGCCAGTGGCGGTTTGCTCTAAAGGCACTTGGGCACATGCCCTAGTATAATAAACCAAAAAAAAATCAATAACTTACATATTTTATATTTTCATCAATGTCTATTATTTTATCTAATATTCAGCGCAAACCGCGTTGGCACGACACTGGACGACCGGGCGTTGAGCGACGTTCCGAGAATTCTAAAATTAAGTGGAAGATGGGCACAATAAATGTGTGCCTCTGTTGTTTTCTCTCTCATTATGATGCGAAAAACAAAAATAACGACAATATCGCTTAGCAAGAGATGAACACATGCGCTGTCCTCATCGTGACGTACTGAATCCATGGCACAAATTACCTAGACCAGATACGAATGTAAGCAGCGGCATCTTTACCGGCTTACTATTGTGATTACGAAAAAACGTTAGTTGGACCATTGGAATAGTTAAGAAATAAAACTACAAAGAAAATTAACTTTTTTTTATAAAGCAGCCAAAAATATAATGAAAAAAAATTAATAATATTTATAAATGGGACAAAATTTTAATTTTTCTTTTGGTTTTGTTTGACTTTTTCGAGGATTTCAAATCTCTGTTTGCATATTTAAGAGTATAAAAAATTATAAATAATTTAATGGTGTACATTTTCGCAAATTGTTGGCAAGAATGACCAAATTCTATTTTGCTCATTTCAAAAAGGTATGCGTTGGAAATTCCAGGCTTAGTTGACAAACTATCAAATAGAGATATAAATATTTTTTCTAATTTGAAAATATAAAAGAGAAATTTTTCGCTGGGAGATTTTAAATTGCCAAATATCTTTTCTTCAGCGTTGTATGCTTTAAAATGTGTTAACAAGTTAGAATTGTTAAGTAAATTGCATTCTTCTGAGAAGTTTACGCAAATTTCGCAAGAGTGGATATGTAATAATTTTTTGATTAAATAGACACATACATAGTTAAATGCATTTTGAGTGGTCACATTTAGCTCCCTGTAGTCACATTCAGAAATCGTTATTGCCCCAACTGATTGTTTTAAAATATATTTAATTTTCATTAAGCGGAGAACTTGTTTTCCTAAGGGAAAAACGAATCCCGGGATTCCTTTCCAGTGTGTGCCCACGAGTCGCCACTGAGAAGGGCCAGGTCTAAAAAGTATTTGGAAATAATTGCTGCAGAACTAGTTGTGATAAAACGTTCAACGAAGACATCTTAAAAAAGCCGTTGTAGAAAATGCAAATGTCATGTATTTGATTAGATAATTAACTTGACATAAGCCTTCATAGCTCAGGTTGTTAGCGCGCTCAACTTTGTATTTCACGACCCGGATTCAAGTTCCGATAAAAGCAACCTTTTTTTCTTGTTTTTAGTTTGAAAAAAAAAATTAAAAAAATACCATTATTGCTCTTTATTTATTTTAAATACATTTTATTTATATTTATTTTGTACTAATCTGAACCGTTATCAAAATAATGTATTTAAAATAAATAAACAGCAATAATCATATTTTTATTTTTAATATTTTTTTCCAAATAAAGAAATAAAAAAGGTTGCTTTTATCGGGAATTGAACCTTGGTCGCGAAAGTTGAGCTATGAAGGCTTATGTCAAGTTCATTATCTAATCAAATATATGATATTTTCCACAACGATTTTTTTAAAGACATCGTCATCGAGTATTCCACCGCTGATGCATATGCAGTAAAGTATTTCCATCTTCTACAAGGCACGAATGAACAATAAATTTGTGAATTCTCCTTGCGCAAATGTGTACCAAAAAAAGTGTCACTGGCTCCCTACCATAAATTAAAAGAAAACGAAAATATATGTATATAAAGGATGTCATACAAGTTGAAAAAATATACCACCAATATTCGTTAGTTACGTGATATAAATTATTAAAATTGTATTTAAACGTTTTGAAAAAACTGCTATAACGGATTTGATAGTTCGAGAAAAAATATCTAGTAAAAAATGTGTTGTCTTTCTTTATACATTTTATTGTATAGAGTTTATATATCTAAGATAAAAATATATTCAAATGATAAAATATTTACTTTCTAATTAAATAAAAAATTCAGGATTGGGCACTTAGAGGTTTGAATTTCTGATGTGACATTCTTAGCTTCTGTTATTAGGTATATACCCATAAAAATCTAAAAATGTTTTATTTATTAATTTAAAATAATTGTTACATTTATTTTTAGTTAGGGAGCTAAATTTTATCTATAAGATTATATCGTCGAATTATATATTTATAGATTGCGAGCCATTATCAATATGTTGTTACTTTTTAAAGATAAAGGTATTTATTCATAAAAAGGTAATGCATCAAGGTGAGACAATAAATAGAGTTATCTATTTATTAAAATCATTTATTACTGGGTCTACCGGGTGACAATGAGACTAGGACTCGTTAAGCAACTAAAAAAGGTTTTCAATTTAATCTGAAATACCTAAATTACTGAATAGATTAGTATCAGTACAAATTGCTTGATCTTTTAAAGGTAGTGGTCTTCAGCAGCAGTATGGTTTCTCATCTGGTAATTCAACAAATACAAACTTACTTTATAGAAAATTTGGTAACACTTTCATACCTATATAATTTGAACCGTTGATTCCATAAAATGTACAGGGTGTTCCATTTAAAACAGGAAGTTTGCAATTTTGTTTTGTATAAGTATTTGTCAATTCGAAATTATGTATACTAGGTTTGTCATATGTCATATGTCACCCGGTATATTATGAAATATAAATTGTAACAAGGATGTATATTTATAAAAAAACAGTTCGCAGCTCCCAACTGATATTAAAAAATAAATATTTATAAAGTATATAGTGATAAAATTCATATAATAAAAATAATATGAACAATACTTGTTTTATATTTAAACCTTTCAGTGCCCATCCAAATTAAATAAATTTTTCGTCAAAATAATAGATCTTGCATACCAAATAAAACTTTAAAAAATTGTTTGTATTTTTTTGCTATGTAGACTAGCTAAAAACCGTCCAGTTTTATGTAAAGCACGTCTCACATATCAAAACTACAACCAAACGTTATAATCCCATTTTATCCCATATACAGTGTGTTTAAATTTAAGATCTACACTCTGATTGTCTTACTTCTTTTTTTTTATTTGGGTATTTTACTATCGTACTGACTGTATCAACTGCCTTTTCGAAGTCTACAAATTGTCAAAATGACCCTATCCTTTTTCAAAAAAGAAAAGGAATTTTACATAATCATCAATTACGCGAGTTGAACTTGTCAAGATTTTTCAACGAATTTTTTTTTTTACTTCACTTTAAGTTTTATCCACTTTTGAGACGAGCCATTTAGCATATCAACTTGATTACTTTTTGTATTTTTATTAATTAATTATTCACTTCTAATAAAACAATAACTTAAGCTCAAATTGTTTTTGAATTAGAGCCTTTAAACAATGTTTTCATAATTAGTAAACCAACGAAAAATATGGATTAAAAAAAGTTGGTTGTATTTTTGGTTTTAGGGACAAGCTGTACCTACCCTGTGTACATATCTAAACCACTCGATATACAGTGTGATGTCAAAAGCTGAGCTGTAACTTTTGTAGATTAAAGACTGCGGTGTGGTCCAATATTTTCGAGAGAAAAATATGTACACTTAAGACATATCCATTTAAGATGGAGCAAACTATATTTTTCTAGTGAGAGATAGAAGGGTATTCGGGTTATGGTTTTAACTGTTTTAGGGGGAAAAGAGATGTAAAATATCTTTATTTTATTATACAAACACGTCTTTCGAGTGACACGTCAATTTGGTCACTGCGCTTTCTGTGATCTATAAAAACTGTTTGAGTTTACATTTTCTAGTTGAGTAAAATAAAGATATTTGCATCTTTGTTTGAAACAAATAATGCTTTGGTACTATTGCTTTATTAAAAAGATATAGTAAGTAAAATATATTAGTGCATAGTTATCGAAATACCAATAATTATTGTAAATAAAAAAACTCGTTTCTTATGTTTCTGTGTAGCATGAAGTGCTTAACAATCAGTTAAATTTGAGAAATTCATAAACATTAAGAGTAGGAGGTTCCAAATCGTAATTCTATGTGGGTAAATTTTTAAATTCGGATCTTAGCGTTAAAATATTAAAAACGTGTATAAACTATGTTAAATATTATTCACCGTTACAACATTGCTTTCTGATTCCGCTTATTTTGTTGTCTTATATTAATCTAAATTGTAATAGAGGGTGCTGGGTCATCAGGATACCTATTCACTAACTCATGAGAGTGTTCGTTCACAAACACATGTTTGAAGGATTCGTGAACACAATATGGCGGAAGTGAACCCGTCTTGGGCCACGTGACAGCGTCTCCTTACCTTCTACCTCCATGTTTTAGACCCAGTATAACGATCATATAGCAATCATATAGCGATCATATAGCCATTCCCGAAAAAGTCCACGCGTTTCACTTGTACCATCGAGATAGAATAAAGTAGAGAAGACATAACCACTATTTTGCGATATGACAAATGGACGCACTTCAAGTGACGGAAAAATGTATTGAAAATGGCGACTTGAGTCGTACTTTGATTTATTTGAAGTCAATAATTTTATATTTGAAGACTGACGGAATGAAAATGATATTATATCATTTATAAGAAGCTATTTAAAAAAATGGCATTTATTCTTACCAAATCTAACTAGCTACACTATTTTGAGTTTGACATTGACGTAAAAAATGTAATGCAAAGGTGTGGACAATTTAACATCGCCATACCATCTCCTCTTTATTCTATCGCAATGACTTGTACAGATAGGCGTGACAGTGTTAAATTATCAGGACCTTCATAAAAGTTATACCGTGAGCACCATAAGTCTCTATCTAACTCGTTACTGGAGTCTTGTTAGGAAAATCGCCGAGACACGTCGATTTTTGATTTTTACAGTGTACATTTTTGTATGAATAGTTTACCCTTAATTTCATCCCTTACTGGAGGGGAGCAACCCTTTCGAAAAATTTAAATGGCATGGGGTGGTGAGTGATAGCTCATTTGAAAGAGGGTTTTATTCTCTATTCAACCATGTAAAAAATTTTGAAATTTGTTTCAATAATTCTCGACTAATTGTTGTTTCAGAATAACGGAAATTAACGTAGCGCACTCATCCTTAGAATTAAAATTCGGCCCTGCATGATTTCGGTTTTGGTTCAGACGTGAAGTAAGACTTTTTGCCATTAGAAAGTCGCTATTAGTTTAGTTGCTTTCCTATTTTGTGAGGTTTTGTTATTTTTAAACATTAATAAATCAACACGTAATGAAGCAAATTTAAATTTTTTTTGCACGGTTGAATAGAGAATAAAACCCCCTTTCAAATGAACTATCACTCACCACCCCATGCCATTTAAATTTTTCGAAAGGGTTGTTCCCCTCCAGTAAGGGATGAAATTAAGGGTAAACTAATCATACAAAAATGTACATTGTAGAAAACAAAAATCGACCTGTCTCGGCGATTTTCCTAACAAGACTCCAGTAACGAGTTATTTAGGGGGGGGGGGTACGACTTATGATGCTCACTGTATATAAATCAATGAAAAACAATTTAATACATTTATTTTATTTTAAAAATAATGATTTACATTTTATGATTATCATTATGTTCTTTCATTAGTCATATATATTATATATTTTAACTTATAAAAACCGCAATGTATTGATTCTCATATTTGATATATCGACTGAAGTGGCCATTTTGAGCAATTATGTATTTAATTTTTCTGCTTCAAAATATTTTTCTTTTGATTATCTACACCAGTGATACTCAAAGTGTGCTCCGCGGATCCCCGGAGTTCCGCAAAGCCTTTATTGTTTTATGACTAATGAATGAAATTAACCAATTGGGTAATTGCTAATTACAAAGAATCAGAAGCAAAATCTAAATAGTAGATCCGATTTGTTTAAATATTAAATTAAAATATAATTGATATCTTGACTTGATTTTACAAGTATGCAATAATAATTTATTATTGTTTATGACTTTAAACCTCATTTTATCATGGCCTGTTACGTTGAGCACTTCGTGTTACATGAACGTAAATGTACTAATGCTTAAGAAAAACATTTTTAGCATTAAATCGATTTAGTAAAATATTCTAGTTTAAGTTTAAGAAGAATGATTAACAATAATTAAATAAAATTTAAAAAACTAATGTACATTTGGCATACATGCACGAACATTTTAAATTCATCTTTAATAGAGTGGAAGAACCTTTATTACGCTTACATTTCATTGTAAAGTACTCTCAGTAGCACATTATATACATTGTATTTTC